AAAAAAAAAAAAAAAAAAGAAATAGCAATTTCCTTAATTTCCTTACCCGTTCCCCAAACACTTGGCCTGGGCTGTGCATCTCCAACTGTGCTTGGAGCACTGAGATGCTGCTCAGGCTACTGAACCCTGCTTAGGGGAAGGAGGTGCTCGAGCCTCCTCCCTGCCCTACGTTGCTGCAGCTCCCTGCTTGGGGCGAGCCTCGGCCCGTGCCCATGTGAAGCTCCCTGGCACTGCCTCTGTCCCGCAGGGAACCAGCGCCCTCCCTGCCCCTCGATGCATAACACTACAGGAATGTAGCCACAGTGCTGCAAACACAGGGCCATGCGTATGCGAATGTATGTAAAGCRGGTCCTCTGGGGCGGGGGCTCCGCGCTGCGGGGCTGCTGTGCAGGCGGGACAGGCAGTCGGACACCGGCAGGCTGGGGACCCTGCACTGGGCATGGTGCCCGGCGCCACGCTCACCCCTCGCCCGGGCCCTTCCTCCCGCCAGGACGCCATCGATGACAAGCTGGACACCAAGCACTACCCTTATATCTCCACCCGCTCCTCAGCCTCCTTCAGCACCACTGCTGTCAGGTGGGTGCCTCCTGTCCCGACCTCTCCTCTTCTGGCCTCCACGGGACCGACAGGTCTCTGGGCGAGGAGGACATCACCTCCTGCCCTCTTCCCCAGTCCTCATCCCTCCCTGGCCCTACGGCTCCTCTAGAGCCYGACCGGGTGCCTCCTGCTCACCCCTCTGCTCCCCGCCCTCCCCAGTGCTCGCTACGGTCACTGGCACAAGAACAAGGCACCAGGCGAGTACCGGAGCGGCCCCCGCCTCATCATCTTCATCCTGGGCGGCGTGAGCATGAACGAGATGCGCTGCGCCTATGAGGTGACACAAGCCAGCGGCAAGTGGGAGGTGCTAATAGGTGAGTGGGGGCACTGGGGGGCCGCCGCGCTCACCRCCTCATCCCACGCTCCGCTCCCGGGGACAGCCCTGCCAAACTGGGCGACCACATGAGCAGGGCCTCCGTGGCAGGCCATGTCCTGCTGCCCGGTGTCGCCCCTGCGCCCTGCTGTCCTCCTGCCTGTCCCCAGCGCCTCCTAGCTCCCCATCTGGTCTTGCTCCCACTGTTCAGACTGAGTGGGACAAAAGGGATTTTGCATCCCAAACTGGTCCAGGCACTGCCATGACACRCTCCTCTTAGAGGTTTTTGAAGAATGGGGGGAGAAGGGCCGGCGCGTGGGCTGGCCCGGCAGCYGGGACAGCCTGTGCCACAGACCGGGGTGCATTGTTGCACCCAGTCCTGCCTCGCGCACATGGCACTGAAGTGCTCCACGCGCGCAGGCTGCCCTGCACATGCGTGCGGCCCTGGGACGCACAGCTTGCGCCGGCATCACCGTGCTGAGGTTCCTCTTGTGCGGGCTGACGGACACGGAGTGCACAACATGTCGCACTGCGGTGCCCGGACACGCGCYGTGGGTGCTGCACCTCAGCCCCAGCAGGATCCGCCCCGCCACGGCCCTGCTGGCCCCACATCCCCAGAGAGGCTCCCTCGGTGGCGCTGGGCCGCTGCGGGGGTGCACGCCACGCCGCCCCGCCCCGCTCGCCTGCCATTGCCATCGCCATTGCCGGCACGCCGCTGCCGCCGCCCGCGGTCAGCGGCCTCTGTTCTCCCGCAGGTGCTACCCACATTCTCACTCCCACCAAATTTCTCATGGACCTGAGGCACCCCGACTTCAGGGACTCCACTAGGGTCTCATTTGAGGACCAGGCTCCAGCAATGGAGTGAGCCAAAGCAACCAAGTAAAGGCAGCCTCCTAAAGGAAAAGAAACTCTTCCTCCCCGAAGGGCTTTCTTTGCTTCTCCTCCTCCCACAAGCATTGCTCTTTCCCTCTTGCCTCTCAGTTTGCGTCTCCGTTCTCCGGGGCGGGAAAACGCTTGCGATCCCTCTGCGCCCCCAGCCTCAAATGTGCCCGACCCCGCGTCCACCTGCCCCTGCCCCGTGTTGCTCGTGGCTGGAGTGCCCTCGGTGGCTCCAGGGTGACGTGGGCAGCCCCGGGGTGGCGCTGGGGCAGCCGTGGCTGCGTGCGCCGCTCCTGCAGAACCGGGGCCAGGGCAGGAGCGCGGTGCCTGCGGCAAACCCAGCCGGGCGCCTCACGTGAGCCCCACTGAGTGCGGGCTGGGGGCTGCAGCAGAGGCCCCGCCGCCCCGTGCAGCCCCCACGGCCACTCACAGGAGGGCATGGGGGGGCCGGGCGCSGTCAGCGTCCCCAGCCCTGCTGCCTCCGGCGTCGCCCCTCACCTCCGCGGGGGCTCTTCCCTGCACAAGCACAACCGCTGACGCCCGGCCCTGCCCTGTGTGTGTCCCCCTGCCCTTGCTCTGCCCCCGCAGGCTCCACGCACATCCTCACGCCACAGAAACTGCTGGATACGCTCAAGAAGCTCAACAAGACAGAGGAGGAGAGCAGCAGTTAAGAGGAGGCGCCCGCGCCCGCCGCGGCCCGGCCCGGCGCCGCTCCTCGCCCGAGCACCGCGCCATGGCCCCCSGGCCGGCCCCGCGTCCCTTCCCACACTCCTCTTGGGACACCCGTCCCCCCTGCCGCCTTCCCCCTCTCTCCTTCCCACCCAAGGGAGGGGACAACACTGGAGAAAACAACATTAGTCACAACGGCGCATCATGGCTAAAAGAGGAAAAAGAAAAAAAAWATCTAGCTTTCTATCTATGCGTAGCTGCCCAAAAGCTGGATCCCATYGCCGAGTAACCCGCGTGCCCATCGCTTGAGATGCTGCCAGCAAGAACAGCAGCAAAAAAAGAAAGAAACAACAAGAAAAAAAAGAACTCTCCGCCGTTTTTGTTCCTCGTTTGGGTTTCCGTCTCGGGCCAGAGCCTGCTGGCTTGAGGCTTGCCCGCTGCCTGCCGGGCCTGGCCAGATGCTGGGCGAACATCTGGCCCTCGACCGCGGCCTCTCGCTTTGCATGTGTTGGCAGGAGGCCCCGCGTTGCCGCTGGTGGGTCCCACCGGAAATCCGGGGCAAAAAGGGACCGAAACGGTCCAAACCTGAAGAAGGGCCCCGGTTTCCTGCGCCATTGGCTGCTCCTCTGCCTTGGCCACAACCTGCAGCACCAGCCTCTCCTCTTCAGTTTGCTCTATCCCTTACAAGAAATATCTATATGTACATATATATACACGCATATATCCATATATGCAGGTATATATATGCACAGGAGCAAGGTGCGATTCTCTTTGGTGGCACGGGGTGCAGGAGCTCCCTCCGCTTGCCCTGTGCCCGCCTGCCGAAGCGCCGCGGGCGCCGTCCTGCAGCCCCCGCCGCCCCGCTCGCGTCGTCCCGTGGTGAAACGTTTCTGACCGTGGAAGTGGCCCAACGCCCCCTCCGCCCCAGCCTGGCCCCTCTCCCAGCGGACTGTGTGTATATTAATTAATGTGTCTCGTGACGTTCTTACAAGCTTGGTGTATAGTGATTTAACCAAAACTCCTTTCGTTTCGTTTTGTTTGGGGTATTTTTTTTTAACGTTCGAGGCTTTCCCCCTCTTTTCCCCACCTCTAGATGCACTGCAATATTTTGGGGTCATTCGCTTTGTTCTGTTCTGTTCCCCTCCGGTCTGAAGGCAGTGGCCCCTTTTCCTCCCCCAAATCTATCTTGCCTCATTGGTGGTTAAATTCCTCCCCCACCTCCTCTTCCTTCCTCTCCCCGTTTGCTCCTTGCCCATAAAGTTAAATATATATTTTTAGGGCAAAGGCTGTATCATTGCACTGATATTTGTTGGTCCCTCCTTGGTCTTCTCCTTCTCCCTTTTTTTGAGTTCTTTCCCCATTTAGCAATGCAAATGCTTCAGGATCTTGTATGTTGGACTTTTTTTTTTTTTTTCTGTTACAGTTATTTATATAAAAAATAATTTATCAAAAAGGAAAATTAAAAAAAAATCTAGTCTGTCTTGGAACTTGTTTACCTTGAAATTACTGGAATCTAAATGTTTGAAAGTGTTGAAGCACAAACATGTATCATCTCTGTATATCTGTTCTTCTGTACTAAAGCACTTGAGTGACTAAATAAATGCGATCTCCATACATAGTGCAAAGGAGGCTGTGCCGTGCCACTTGTTTCGGGGCTCCCGGGGAAGCGGGGAGTGGATGGGACAGCAGGGATCTTTTGTCACCAGGCACTGATGCAGTCCTYGGGGCCACCAAGGGCTCCCCAAAGCAGCTGCTTGCTGCTGGTTTCGCTCCTCTCCCGCTTCCCGTGCGTTCGTGGGGGGCTGCTGCAGCTAGGGGATGCACAGGAGACACCCTTAAAACAGAAGGAATAGAAAACAAGCAAAAAAAGCACATTTATTTTGTTAAAAAATAGGGATTATCATATTACAAAATACTACGCCAATAGCTCTGCTGTTTATTACAAAATAAGAGACGCATGAAAAAACGTCATCTTCGCTTCCCACTCTTGCATTTCAGACACTCGGACGCTGTGGCCGTGGCTCTCGCGGCCCTGGCCATGCTAAAGGCAGCTCCGGGGCTGCAGCATGTGCCCAAGGCCCACARAAGCGGCCACCAGATTATTTTAATCCTCACCAGCGGTTTCCACTGCTTGTTGCACACAGATATGCAAACACACAAACACACACGTGCAGATGATCTGTCCAAAGAGACTCAGGCTTCCAGGGAAAGGCGCCTTCCAGGGCAGTTCCGCTGTACCTCGTGCACTGCATCCGACAYGGGATGAGCTTGGACATGGGCACTTTCGGTAGATCCTTTCTGTTGATCCAAGTGCGGGTATGAGCTTGGGAAAGGGGGCAGGGGAAATGGCTTAAACATCCCCAGGCACAACTATGAAATGCATGCACGTAAACAGAGGCTCAAGGGCCAGTTAAAAACTGCAGCAATAAATTACAGGAGAAGACTCAAATGCCCTTAGGATTAAGCTGGAATGTAAAAAAAAACCCCAAAACTAAACAAACAAACAATATATACACATATATCAGCACATGTATTTATAAATACACATGCACACACACACACACACATCATAACTGACAGTCATTCCCAAAAGAGTGGTTTAGCTCCTTATTATCTACCTTGAAGGTAAAGAAAAAAAATACATATATATGACCACACAAATGAGCTTTCCAGGGCCAAGTTCAGGTTGACCAGAGTCACACAGACAGCTTCATCAGTCAAATCACCCTGCTTCCTTTACAGGCAGCTGGGGTGTTAAAACACAAGCASAGCACTTGGCCCCTTCCTGAGGCGTGCGACGGATCACAACACCCACAAACAGCCCCAAATAGGGCTTGAGAAATGGCCTCAATTCACAGCAGGAGCCGTAAGGGGCAGCAGAGCAGGCGGGTGGAGCGGGAGTGAGGCTGGGGAGGGGGAACATCCTTCATCTTCCAGGGCCACGTCTCGCCCGGCACGAAGGCGGCACCAGCAGCACGGAGTTTAAGTGCCAGGCTCGAAAGCCAGCAACAAATCAAACTACCCAGATGTCTTTTACGTAGTCGCTTCTGCATTTRCCTTTGGAAATAAGAGAGAAGCGCAGGTATCTCTGCACACACATCTCTCACGAGCGGACATAAGGTAAACGCTGCAGGACCTACACGAACCAGAACCTCCTGAGGAAGCTCTTGGCTCACCAGCAGCATCTGCCCTGGGCAGCGCGGGGCCTGATAAAGAGGCACATGGAGGGCACGGACCCCAAGTGACTGTTACGGGCACCAGGAATAGGGGCTGCTCTAAAAAACAGATAAAATAGCCAGAATGCTCATGGCTCAGTGTGGAGGGGAGGGTTAAGGCAACTGTGATGCAGGTTGGGAGCAGGTTTAGGACCTGACGGAGACGCTTCCAGTCTTGACCAATGTGCCTCCAGATGTGGTAGGGATCCAGCAGCGTAGGATCCTCCTGCTGCCTGCTGAGAAGGCAGGGACAGACAAGTAGCTTTGGCACATCACTGGCCAGGCCTCCTCCTGGCCTCCCACCAGCTTCCTAGCTTCATCCCAGCCACATCYGTCTCCTGTCAGAAGAGGCAGGATCCCCGGAGGTCATGGACTTTGCTCAGTTCAGAGGTCAGTGAGCGGCTCATCTGTTTTGTGGTGAACTTCACGCTCTTGGCGGCCTCCACGGCACGGGCCAGGGACCAGTTGAGTTCCTCCAAGTCGTTGAGGTCCAGGGTGAGACGGCGGCTGGCAGCTTGCTGGCGGGTGGCCTGTGGTGTCCGCTCTGCCRGCTGGTACCTGGGAGCAGGATGGAGGGGGAGACCAGCCAGGACTGGTGCTGAGGTAGATACTGTTGGGGAGCAGTAGCTGGAAAGAAGAAGAGGACACTGTCATGGCTATGCTCCACAGGCGGCACATGCCTGTGCCTCCACAGGTGCCTGCCCAGCTGCAAGCCAGAAGGGGTCCCTGATGGGCATGTGGTACAGGGACCTTCTCCTACATCCACACATCCAGGCTGGCAGGTCTCATGGAGACCTCAAGCTGCACAGTGACGATTTTGTTGTTTTTCTTAAACCATCTCCTCTGACTCCAGTCCCTCCTGCCCATGCTCCTAACACCCAGCTCTTCCGCTCTCCCCTGCGCAGAGCAAACCCTGAGGAAGAAACGGGCTGCATGGCCCAGCTCTCAGCAGGATGCTGCCCACGTGGGTGGTCGGAAAGCTGAACAAGCCAACCGGACCTCAGCTCTGAGGCGGTCGCAGGACCGGCTGGGCTGTCCTGCATAGTCAGAGGGAGCCCACGGGGGTGCACAGCCACTGTGCCGCACCCCACCCTTGGGGACCCTCCATAGCGTCACCATTCCCAGAACTGTCCCTCATGGATGTTGACTCCTTCCTGCCTCCCAGTGCCCCCCGAGGCCACGCAGGGCATCCTTACAGCACGGAGGGCGTGTAGGACACGACAGGGACTGGCGCGAGATAGCCCAGAGCGGCTGCCGGGGGGCTGGCTGCCAAGTACCACAGTGCAGGCTGCTCCAGCGTCTCGGCTTTGGGGCCAACACGGGAGCCTGGAGACGAGCTGCCATCCAAGCAACGCTCCGCTGTGGAGAGAAACGCAGGAGACATCGCCCATGAGATGCACAAGGATGGGAATCTGCTTGGCTACTATTCTGGCTGCCCACACAGGGGTTAATCTGACCAGGGGACCCATTACTGGGAAGAGGAGTGCCCTTGGTACTCGGGGACTGTCATTTATGCCCCTGRGCAGCAAAGAAGGGTCTTAAAGTCACACCTCGTCCCCCACTACCAGCCCCAATTAGTGGGTCAGCTGTGATTGCGGTGGCTCTCTGGGGAACACGGGCTGGCTCTGGGTACCCACCRTGCGCTGCTGTGTTGCTGGTGTTGGGCGCAGGGGTGTCCTGGAGGGAATGGCACATGGGACAGCGGGTCTTGCTGGGAGTGCTCTGCTGGGGCTGCTGCACCGCATCTCCCACTGAGGAAGCGGCTGAAGAGAGAGGGAACAAGCAAGTGTGTAAAAACCGTCCCTTTGCTGAGTACGTGAGTGTGATTTGGAAAGAGCAGACTGGCACATGCAGCTAGGAACGGATACAAAGCCCTTTCATGTGCAGAACACTCTGCCAGGGGATCCGGGAAGTGCCTGGTGTGTGTTTGGTTCAGTTACTCACAGCAACCGGACACAACAGAGCTCTGCTCCCTGCCGCTACCTGGAAACAGCCCAGCGAGCACAAGGCCCCGGGCAGGAGACAAAGCGGGTGCAGGCAAACAGGGCTCTGCGCACTGAAAAGCCAAGGGGTCGATCTTTAGCTGAACAAAAGGGTTGGGCACACGTTCCCGCTTGTCCCCAGGTCATTGTGAAGGGCTGCATTGAGAAGCAAGGAATGCACTGGGTTACTAAGGGCGGGCTCCCCAGCAAGGACCGAGGCCCATGCACGGGCTTGCCCTCACCCTAAAGCAAGGCAGCCCTCATCTCTCCTAAACCGGAGGAAAGCCCTGCTCTGCTCCCGTCACAGACTCTGCTTGCCTTCACCCATCCCCATCCCACTCAAAGAGGCCAGCACATGGTGGTCTCATATCTCGCTCCCCCGAGTCTTTTTAAGTCTGTAGTTACTTAATGAATTAATGCCTAAAGTCATTAACAGCTCCATTAACAGGCAATTGGGAAGCCCTCTGAGATTGCAGACAAGAAGGCAGTTTTCCTGCCTGGCATACGTCGAGGGCCCGCGATGATGCCCCCAGGCGCCCTGCCCGCGCTCTGCTCACCCCGCGGGCGGCTCCCGCAGCCCTGCGGGCACCGAGGGGCTCCCTGCTCAGCTCCCTGCTCTGCTGCCGGGGCGGCGAGCGGCGTCGTGTGGTGTCTCGTCYCTGCAAAAAGCACAGCCTGACTCGCCCACCAGCCCAGGGAGAACCCTGGGGGGCAGCCGGCATTGACCCCCAGCAGCGACCACCGCCACACGCTGGGACCTGCCTGGCCTGCACCTACCTGTGCATTGGCCCCTAATCGTCACCGTGTCCCGCAGGCTCCGAGGGCTCTTCCGAGGGGAGAGCACAGCCCTGGGCCACTCGTCCCAGGGCCTGGCCGGCGAGCGGTCTGATGCTACAGGGAAGCACAGGGTTAGTGGGGAGCATCTAGCACCCTTGTGCCCATGCTGCAGGGTTTGCCCTGAGCTGAACAGTGTGAGGGGTGCCCCAGCCCTCTTGGGGCACCCACCAGAGCACCTTTACCCCACTGCCCCTCCAGGACCTGCTCTCCGTTCAGGGCAGGTGCAAGGCAGGGAGGACTATGTCCCCACTGCCCTCTCCGAGAGGACAGACTGGCCAGCCCGGCCTTTGGCGCAGTCTCACTTACGGAGGAGCAGCTCTGGCCCGTTCCGTGGCGGTGACGCAGACCTCCCTCTCCGAGCTGCCTTGCTTGTCAGGGCCGGCCTTCCCCGCGCCGCGGCGCTGGGCTCCCTGCAGACACAGAGCTGCTGTCAGTGGGACAGCCCCAACGGGGTTGGGGACTGTGACCACACGGGGGACCAGCAGGCCACCAATGCAGAACTGCAGGGTCAGTGTGGGGACCCTTCTGGGACTCCCAGTGAGAGTGAGGTGCCTSTGGCTACGGGTTAAGCCAGGACGCTGCTTAGCATCCCCTCTGCAGCTGCATCCTGGGGYCCAGTCACAGCCCAATTCTGCTCTCACGACACCTGTGAGATCTCTTGGGCTCATCCCAACAGAGCCAGGCTCTCTCCCCTGCCCCGAACCTTTTCCAGGCCCTGACAGAAACTGGACCAGCTTGGTATGGGGGGGAATCTCCTCGCGCCTTCAGGGCTAACCCATGCAAAGCAGTCCTGTCCCCACCAGCAGTGCCTGCTGTCTGGGCTGCGCGGCGCTGTCGGGACGAAAGCCCTGGTGTGCTCCGCCACCTACTCGGAGGATGCAGGCTCCTTGCGGGACAGTCCGTTGGCCAGTGYCTGTCTCGGGGCCTTTGCAGTCCGCAGAGGGGCTTTTCCTTCGGGGTAGCTGCGTGACCAGCGCAAACTCTGCTCCAGCCTCTGTTGCAGGCGCGACACCTCGTCCTGCAGCGCACGGATAGCCCGGCTGCCGGGGAGAAAGAGCCACTGAGGGTGGCCTCAAGGCACACGCAGGTCTGTGCCCCCGGGCCACGGTGCCTGGCACAGGGTGCAGCAGAGCAGGGGRAACCGCCGAGCCTCCCCTCCCAGTCAAGGCTGAGCCCTGGCTTGTTGGTATGCACAGATGGTTCCTATGGAGAACCCACAACACTCATCACACAGCTGAGGGTGCAGCAGCTCCCACAGACTGTGCTGCCCATCACGGCTAGGAACAGCAGCCTGTTCCTGCCATGAGCTGGCCCTGTCCTCTGACTGTGCAGTTCAGCATCACCCATCTGCTGGGGAAAGTGCCAGGAAATGCTGCCCACACAGCTGGGTGCAAGGCACCTCTTGGGTCCAGTGTTAAGGCCACTGCTCTCCCTGCATGAGCACCAGGCAGCAGCGAGGAACATGATGGACTTTCTATCCTCCCTGCAGCCAGGGCCACCCCCCCAGGGAGGGGGGGGATCCCTCGTCTGTTCGGCCGCCGAGCGCAGCGGCAGCGATAGGAGAGTGATGGGGAGCTGCCGAGCGGCACAGCCACATCCAGGCCCTGCCGCCGAGCCACGGAGGGAGGCAGCGGCTGAGGGGAGCGCCAGGCAACGCTCCAGGAGCATTTGCTAACATTGTGCAAGGAGACACAGGCGCAGCCCTGCCCAGCCACGGTGCAACCTCAGCCTCCTGTACACAGAGGGGTTGTCAGGGCTCTCAGGAGACCATTCCACACGGGGTGAGCATGACCAGAGCCAGAGAATGAAGTGATCCCATCACCTGGGATGTAGTGACTCAGTGGCACGATGGCCCTTCCAGATAAGGCCAGGGCCTTTCTGCACTGTGGAAAAGGTTTCTGTCCTCAGCTGGCTCAGAATTCGCCACACGTCGCGAGTTTGGTAGTCTCAGCTCAAGCAGACAAGGTGCTTGACCTCTARCTGTGAGCTGTTCCCCTACTAAAGCAGTTTTCCCAGAAGTGGAAGCTGCCACCATAGGAGAAGGCACTGGGGCTCCTGGGACTTGCTCTGTATCTGCACCCCAGCACCCTCCCCTGGGGTCCCTGTGACATGCCATGGCCAGGCCTGTCCTTGGCGCGAGCCGGGAGGGACACTCACTCGCGCTGCATGCGGGAGCCCAGCAGATCATAGGGAGTCTGGTCGGGGGGCAGCGCRGGGGCTGGAGCCCCGGCCTTGCTGGGCGGGTGGCTGCAGGAGCCTGCACAGCTCCTCTCCTCCACTGCAGAGTCTGTGTGAGCTGGGGAGGAAGGAGTTCACAGTGAACAGCAATGTAGGAACAAGACGCTTGGGAGAGCAGAGCCAGCAGGCACGAGGGCAACTCCACAGGCAGCCCCTGAAGAGGTGCAGACAGATTTGCTGGCAGCTGCAAGCCCATAAACTGGAGCCTCTTTCCTCCTTAGAGATGAGACTCAGAAAATAAATCACTGAATAAATCTCCTCAGTGGCAGCTATGAAATTATCTAGGGTGGAAAATAATTCTTCACCCTGGCACGTGGCAGGGAAGTTGCTACCCCAGGGACCCATCAATCCCCACAACGCTGGCCCCAATCTGCCTACTCACTGCCATCAGCATCGGGTGCCATGTCGCTGGTGACACTATCTGCCCACTGGGGAGGGGAGTTGGTGTGAGAGGGGGTGCTGGGCAGCAGGCTGGGCCCCCGCATGCCATCCTGGGGCGGCCCCTGCCCACAGTTTGTATAGATGCCCACTGGTGCCGTTTCCAAGCGAAGCGGGGCTGCCTCTCTCTTCTGCAGCGGATGGAGGGCTGCSGCCGTGGAGATGGGACCTGATCTTCCCAGCAAGCCAAGTGTCCTGGGGACAAAACGGGTCATGGAGGCATCCCCAGCTATCACTGGCCTGTCCATGTTGGGCAGCCCCCTCCAGCACTAGGCTTGTTCCCTTTGTGGGTCACTCTGCAAGCCTCCCACCCATGTGAGAAGCATTTTGGGGCTCTACAGCCCCCCTCCCTCCTTGAGCCCCTGACAACATTCCTTTCCCGGTCACTGTGCCGCTCTGCTCCCCCACATTCATCCCTTTGTTTCCCACAGAACAAACACCCTTCCACCCTGGGCCATACCCAGCATGCGGGGGCCGGTGCTCTGGCACATGCAACAGTGGGGACATGGACACCCTGCTGGTCTCGGAGCCCACGAAGCCGCTGTCCGTCTCTGGAGACACGATACGCTGCTCCTGCCACGAGAAGAAGACCTGCCTACTRGCTGTGGGGCACACGCCCAGCACGGGGCTGCGGGGACGCTGGGCTCTTGCAGGAAGGAGACGTGGCACCTGGCCAGGGCAGCCCGCAGCCCCACGTCAGCCCGCGGGTGACGGCGTGCCCAGGCCAGCGCGCGGCCCTGCACACTCACCTCTGCCCGCGCGGGTTTCGCCCGCCGGGGCTGGTGCTCAGCGGCTGCGTTGCCCGAGGCACTGCTCCCTCGGGAGAGGGGCGCCCGCGGCTCAGGGAGCCCGGCCGGGGCCTTGGCCGCTCTGGGCAGCTCCTCACTGCYGGCACAGGACAGGCGGCCCTTCTTCCACGCCGGTTCCGTGTGGGGCAGCAGCCCTGCTCTCCCCTCGGCGGGCTGCCTGGGGGAGGAGACAAAACAGCTCTGAGCGCTCACAGCCCTGCGGGAAGCAGCCCTGGGGCACGAAGCTCCCTTCACCACTGCCTCTCATTGGGAGTGACAGGCAGTCACTCCCTGTTACTGCTGAGCTTTGGAAAATGCAGTGTCCTCTGCATTCCTGGAGATCTGGGGAGCCTAATCTGAGATGTTCCTGCAAGTGCTGCAGGCACAAGCCTGCTTTGTGCTCGTAGCAGCCAGCACAACGCRCTCCTGTGAGCAACGCCGGCCCTCCTGTGCAAACAGTGGGACGGAGCAAGTGCCGAGAACACTGACAAAGCCCCGTGCACGGGAAACCCTGACCAGCTGCTCCCACCCCTGCTCTAACCTGGGTTCTGTMAGCAGCAAGGAAACCTTTCAAATAATGCCCATTGTGGAGAAGGTACATGCAGCCTTGTGTCCCACGGAGGCTGTTCACTCTGAACCCTATCAATGCCAATGACACAAAACCTGAGGTGTCTGATCAGCTTCTCCCAAGTGATTCTATCTCTCTTGACAAAGAGCACCAGAGAAGCATTGTAAAGTATTTTTAACACACATTTACAACAAAAAAAAAGCAGTAAAAGTAATTTCTCCCGAGATGCTGGGCCTGCAGTATGCTTCCTTCATTCTCCAATCCCTTTTCTGACCCTTCTGCCCTCCCCATGTGGGTGAGCTGGGCTCCGATAACACTTACAAGGGAGAGGCCGGGAGGCCGCCCCTCTCCTCTGGTGGCTGTGTCCTGCAGGAGACCTTGTCCAGGCCACTCTCCCCTGCCCCGAGTCCATCCACCTCCTCCAGGGACTGGCTCCCTCCCTGGCTCAGCCGCTCCAGGCTCAGAGACTCGGGAAAGGACTTGAAGTGCTTGTACCTGGTGGTCAAAGGGAGACAGACGCTTGATGTAAAATATCCAGGACAACAGATGCCCATGGAGGATTTCACTGTCAAGGGATGTGCCAGATCCTGCTTGATTGGTTTTGGTAGTTTAGTTTTGGGGAGGCAGCAAATTTAGCAGTGCTGGAAGGGAGCAGGACTGCAAGACAGAGCCTGCCACGATGGTACCAGCCTGGAAAGGCACTCCGAACACCAAACCTAAGCTGTTCCCCCACACCGGTTGCCTTCCCCATCACAGGGCTACTCACGCACCTGGCCTCCACACAACAGATACTTACTGCTCCAGCAGGTCACCAAAGTCTTCCTCCACCTGGAGCCGCTTGTGCCAGAGGGGCTCGGGGAGCAGCTCGCCTCTTCCCGCCTCACGGTCCCCGCTCGCAGGGCTCCCGCCTGTGCCTGGCYGGGTGCCTGGGAGCATCTCCTGCAGCGCAGGGCTCTGCAGAGCACAAAGAGSGAGGGCAGGTTGGAGGAGCTGCGTCTCCACGGCTGCTGCACCCTGCCCCAGCCCAGCTGGGACACCCCAACCACCCCAGCCTGCATTCCTGCCTCCAAATCAGCAGCAGCCACGCAGATGAGCAACCTGCTGGGCCCCACGCGTACCTCGGGGTAGGGGGTGCACACGGCCGGCGTCGGGGCTTGCAGCGAGGGTGTCGGCGAAGACGCACGCGTCTCGGAGAGCGGCACSGGCGAGCGACTGGGAGAAGAACCTGCCTCTGAGCAGCTGCGTGGGGAGGGCTGCCTCTGAGCCGCTCGCTCGAGCCGATCCTTCAGCTCCTCCAGGTGCATCCCCAGGCAGAATATCTCCCCTTCCACCGTGCTGAAAGACAGACACCCATCAGCCCATGCTAAAGAATCTGCCAGGAGCAGGCAAAAAGCCCAGGCTGGACTCCAGTGTGGGAATTTGTCATGAATTTGTCATGCTTCTTAGGGCTTAATAAAGTAGAGAGCTTAGCATAAGGAGATGATATAGTATAGCATAGGGCATAGAGCATAGGGAATGGTGTTCAGAATGTGTTCGGAATGATGTTTGGCGATGTCACGGGAAGTTAGGAGCATAATTAATGCATGCCTTACTGATGGCCCCAGGAGAGGTTAGTSTCCTGATTGGGCAGTGGGTGAGTTCCCGCGCTTTGCTGGGGTATATAGGCAGACTGAACAAAGCCATAAACGCCCTTTGCTGCATCCTCCATATTGGTGTCTGTGCTCTACGGCCCTGGGGCGGGTAGAACCCCAGGTCAGTCCACCTAGCGAACGAGGCTTGCCGACCCCCGTCGGTAACACTCCAGGAGACTGGGAAGGGCCAGGAGCAACCAGCTGCTGGACTTTGCTGGTTTGGAGAGAGCAGCAAGCTACTGTGCAAAATCCACGGGCCTCACAAAGCCCTTAAGTAGCCCGAAGCATCCCCATGAAACACTAACAGGTAGAAAAAATAAGTGCACGCCCAGCAAAGCACTTCCATCCCATGAACCAGGGTGAGGACTGGCTCAGTCTGACCCAATGAAACATCCATGCGTGCACCTCCCTGCAGAAATATATCCGGACAGCAGGGCTGGTCACGCTCCTGTTCCTGTCTCAGCAACATTTTCCTCTTTGCATTGCTCCAGGATACATACGTGGCCTCCAGCCTCGTTGCAAGGGTACCTCACATTGCCCAGCCCCCTGCCTGGTGAGGCCTGGCAAGAYTGCAGCCTTCACTCATGCAGGGAAACGAGGCAGGACAGGACTGTGGCATTTGCTGGTAGAAGCAAGGAGCGTGGCACGGTGGGGAGCTGATCCCTTGTCGCTCCTGTCCTGGGTTAAAACACCTACCGGTCTGGATCAAACTCCCCTGAGGCATCTGGGTGCTGTTGTAGCCTGCGGTTCTCCTCGCGGGCTTGCAGATATGTTCGCTCCAGCGCGTCTTGAGTCTTCTTCAGTTTCCTAAACCTCTATAGCACAAAAGCAGCATGTTTAAGATGGAAATCTCAGTCCCATGTGCCCAGATCCTTCCCCTTCTCAGCTGCGGTCCCAACCCCATCTCACTGTGTTGGGGTGATAAACCCTGTATCACCCCATCCAACACTCACAGCTACCCCCTCTGCATCTCCKGGGGTGCCCACAGTTGGACTGTCTCATAGATCCTCCACACTGGGAGTCTCAAAGCAGTTCCCAGAGSGGATTTGCAAGCTAAGTGGCTTACTCCCATGCAAACCATGCTCAAATGCAACTTTGTGTTGTCAGAGATGTGGCAGTGTGGTCAGACAGGCTGCCTGGAATACAGGTCTCACAGCAACGTCCCCGAGTCTGCCTGCTCGGTGCTGCACTGGCCCCATCTGCGGGTCCAGCAGGGCTCCCAGTCCTAGCGACCTTGGGAGCCGGGACAGTGAGTCCTGGCCACCACCCTGGCAGGCAGCACCAGCGAGGAGGACCAGGCGAAGGACTCTGCTCCTCGATGGGAGCACTGTTCCCAAGGGAAGACACAAGCAGAGCACAAGGGCACCACTGGCTAGAGCGCTGCAGCTTGCAGCGAGCAAAGCTCATTATCTCCRAAAGAGAAAGAGATGGAGTCCCAGACTCCGGCTGCCCAGACTACAGAGACACAGCAAAGCTCCAGTTGCTCTTGCCTGCAGCTGAACTGGGAGCAATCCCATGTAAACCCACCCTTGGGGTACAGCCTGTCCCCTCCACGCTGCTGCTYCCCATGACACCTCCACCCCCGCCAAGGAACAGGCAGGGGACCCAGGTGCCAAGGGAGGGAGATGGAGAAAAGCAGCGGRCTCTGCAGAGGATGAGTGCTGCAGGGTGCTCGGGGCATTACGGAGGTACCAGGAAGGGCTGCTGTACCTGGAGCTGCTCCTGCGGCGTGGAATTTCCTGCCTGGACCCAGGCTTCGAAGGATTCAACCTGGTTGAGAGAGAAAGGGGTGAACTAAGCCTCACCCTGGGAGGGACCATAGGGGCAGAAGTTAATTGTCTTCTCCTGTGCGGGGCCTCTTTGCCACCCCCAAAATCCAGCCCCAAGGTCTGCATCCAGCACCACTGCCCTTTCCGGTGGTTGCTGTGACCCAACTTGCCTGAGCTTGAAACTTGCGGGTCTGTCCTGCCAGGGTCTGCGTGAGCTGGATTCCTGGGCATGGGTGCACCTGGCACCCACACTGTCCTGGGCATGCAGAGCAGCCCATCCCAGGCAAATGGGGAGAACMAGTCCGAGGTGATGTCCCCTGGTTGACTGGTTCTTGTGCTGGCTCTGCAACAAAAGGCAAAGACAAGGTGTAGGCGACCCCCAGGAGCACCTGTTTTCCCACCCTTTGAGCAAGACACGATCCAACCCTGGGTACAGGGGAGTACAAGGAGCTGAAATTCCCCAAATCCGGGCAGTCAGACTGGGGAAAAGCGGTCCTGCCTACCTGCATCCAGAAAGGGCTGCAGGGCTGGGACGGGGGCCGTGCTGATGGCTGCTGTTCTTGACTGTGGGATGCTGAAGGCCATGACCTTGGAGCCGGTCCCTAGGGTCCCCATGCGGACGCTGTGGCTGGGCTTCGGTGGGTCAGCGTACAGGCTCACCTGAGAGGTGGGGAGAAGGATTTAGAGCATCTGAGCGGGGAGAACTGCAGTGTGCAGTGGGTGTCCGTGGCCACGCTGCCACGCAGCGCTGCAGGAAYGGTCATGGGCCAGTGGATCTGTGGGGCAGCACCCGCTGCCTGCTCCCTCCACATGTGCCTGAGGGCACCAAGGCACCCACAGCCACTGTGCTCATGTGTTGGCCAACAAGCAGCTAAGCCAACCTGCAGGACTTGCACGAAGGCTGCAAAGGGCAGGCACAGGCACCCTGCACCCCTGTTCACATTTCTCATGTGAACACACCAAGACCCAAACCCTCACATTAAACTACTTTTTATTGAAAAAAGCTCTTTTGCCAACTCCTCTTTCAGCACCAGGAGACCCACTCTAGCCTGATGCTCAGGCTAGTCCTCCAGCCTGTCCCCTGCTCCATGCCTGGGCTTGCGCTCAGGCCCTCTGCAAACACAGGGTGAGCTGCAGCAGGGCCAGCATTTGCCCAGGGCCACCCCGCTCGGCATCCAGTCCCGCTGCCCTCCCATTTGCGGGACGAAGCAGCACTCTTCGTGCCACACTGCTGGCTGCTCTCCGTGGCATGCCACGCTGTTCTCCCTGCCCCAGGGCAGAGCCAAGCTGCTCCTTGCTTGTAGCCCACCAGCCTCCCCAGCCTCCCAGCAGCCGTGGGGACCTCTTTTACAGAAGAGGTTCCTCTCATCCCCAAAGAGCCATTTCATCTGCCCGTCCTCCCTCGGCCTGCCCGCAAGGGGAGTTGCTGCAGGCTGCCTAGGGCAGGGCATCCCCGGCGCTCACAGGGGTTTCCCACCGGTGGTGCCCCCACGTCCTCCTCCCAGGTCCCCAGGGAGCACCATGGCTCCAGCCGCACTGCGAGGCGGTGGGGCCGCCTGGGGGGCAGGCCCGCCCGCCATTTTGTGCCCCGCGGGAACGGCTGCGCTGCCATCTTGGGGAGCCGCTGCCAGCTGGCACTTCCGCGCCCGGCCCGCGCTGCCACTTCCCCAGGAGGTGCCGGCAGCGGCGCYGGGGCTTCCTGAACCGCCTCCCCACCGCGAGGGAGCCGGGCCTGGCCGGGGGGTGCTTTAGAGGGGCTGGTACCCGCCAGCCTCCACAGGCACCCACCTTGGCGCCCAGCCGCAGCTGGTCGATGGTGTTCTCGGCCTCGGCGTACTTGGTCAGCAGCTTGTGGTAGTCGTCCTGCAAGGGGCAGGGAGTGGGGACGTGAGGCCCCGCTGCCGCTCGGGCCGCCCCACGCCCCTGCTGGGCACCCACCTGCAGCTGCTGCACCAGCTCGCTGGCCTCCTCGGGGCACCCGAAGGCGCGGGCGGCACTGGGCGCGGGGCGGCTGCGGGCGCAGCGCCCGCCGCTGCTCAGCAGTGCCTCACGCACGATCTCGGCCGGCGACTTGGGCAGCACGGGGCCGCGGGGGCCGCCCGCGGGCAGCGTGCGCCCGCGCGGCGGCCGGTAGCTCTGTGCCACCTTCACCCGCGCCTCCACCTTGGACAGGTCGGGCAGCGGGTGGTTGAGCGGCCCGCGGCCGTAGCGCGGGCTTGCGGCCGCTGCGGGGCCAGTGGCGCTGGGCCGCGCCATAGCCGTCGTCGCCCCTCGGCTGTGGGGGCGCCGCGGGCTCAGCGAGCGGCACTGCCGGCCCCGCGGCGGCTGCGGCGCCGCTTTCGCCACCGCCCGAGCATGGCCACGCAGGCGGRCGCTGCCACCTGCACCTCGCTGCTCCCCGGCCGGCGGCACTGCCCCGCCACGCGGCTCCCTGCCGCTCTCGGCGCCGGCCACGACGCAGGGCTCCGCGGTGACGCTGCAGGTGTCACTGCGAGTGTCACTGCGGGCATCGCGGAGGTCCTTGGCGGAGAGGCGGCGCAGGAGGCTCCGGCTGCGGCTCCAGCGGCCAGGCGCGTGCTGGCAGGGAGGGGACGCACCGGGGCTCACATCTGAGAGCGCCGAGGCCTCCCCGCCGTCTGTGCTGAAGCTCAGTGACCTCAGACAGGGGCCGAGCAGGGCTGGGCTGTCCCGCAGTGCCTCGGGGCTGCCGCTGTACTCGGAGCCACACTGGCCCTCGTAGGAGAGCTCTGGGTACAGCTCGCTGTCGCTCTCAGCCCCCGAGGTCCCCTCCGGCCTCCCCTCATCCCCTGAGCTCCCCTGCTCCTCCTCCTCCTCTTCCTCCTCTTCAGTTGCATCCCGATGTGGTCGCCAGTAAGCCAGCTTGGTTGGTGCCCTGTCACTGGGATCCTTGATGTCCCCTGGAAAACAAACCTGGGGTCACCAAGTGAGCAACAGCTCCCCGCCCAGCTCTGGGGCCTCCATGCGGGCAGGGCAAGGAACGGGGACGTCCAGGAGCCCCAAACCACCACAGGATGGGGACTACGGCTGGGGCAGCCCTGCAGCAACCACCCCTCAGAAGTCGCTGGGGCCTCAGCTGCAACCAGTGCACATTCATAGCCAGGTCACACTGTCCTCAGGGAGCACCTGCAGCCCCACGCCAGGGTGGCAGGTTCTACATCAGCCCATCCCCTCAGCCCTGGGTTCCTCTGAGGCTCCGCGACGTGGACACGGTGTGGGCGGCACCTCACAGACCCAGCAGCACAGACACAAGCAAGGCACGAGGGAGGGCAGCAGAGCTGACTCACCCGGCGCAGGACTCCCGGCATCCTCCCCATCTGTGCCCGACCCCTCCGGACCAAACTCCGGCCACTCCCGGCCGCTGAAGCTCCTGACGCGGGCGGGGGGATCCAGGGCCTGCAGGCCGAGCGCCTCCACGAAACAAGAGCCTTGAGRCCGGTCAGAGACAGCAGCAAGTCCCTCCTCCAGGCCAATGACTCCATCCTTGTCCATGTGCTCCTCAAAATCTTCATCCTCCTCCTGCTGCTCTTCCTCCCAGCGCTTCGTCTCTGGGGAGCCATCACCCAGGTCCCCCTGGGTCCAGCGCAACCATGGTGTGGAGCCGGCCATGCCCCGCTGCCTGCCGCGCATGGCCCCACGTGGCGGCACCAGCCCCGCTTTCACTTGTGCCGCTTCATGGCGAAGGGGCGGCGAGCGCCCGGGCCAGGGCTCCTTCCCGGTGGGAATGTAGGTCACGTCGGCGCCGCGCTCAGCGCCACAGCATCCTAGCGACAGCCAAGAGATGGGGAAGATGCTCAGTGAGGCAGCAAGGACACAGCAGGCTCTGTTCAACCCCCAGCCCCCGCGCGGGGACGGCGGCTGCTGTCGGGGCTTTCCCGTGCCTGGTGCCGTCCCAGGACGTGGGGCGACGGCAATTGCCTCAACCGGCACCACCAGCCGTGGCCTCCCCAGCCAGAKGAGATGTCCTCCCGTTCCCGTGCGGGGAGGCACCGCAAAGGGGCGGTGGCCCTTGGGGGACCATGGATGCAGAGCCTTTCAATGCGACCCAGAACTCCAGGTGGGAGCTGCAGCCCCTCTGGCTGCAGGAGGAGCTGCTCGGGGCACGTTTGCCCCCCGGCCGATGCCTTCCCTGGAGCAGGTACCTCCCACTTGGATATCTCCAGGATGGGAGGCCCTCGCCCAGCACCCTCCCCAGTGCCACGGGACATGGAAGCAGCACCCGGCAGCCCACGCAGCACCGGGGAGACAGTGATGCCGAGCGGGAGCGGGGCCCCCGTGCAGCCGGACACGCAGGGAGCTGCAGGCAGCGCAAGCGGCCCCAAGTGGGAGGGTTCCAAGTGGAGCCTTCCCCGCACGGGGCTGGTCCCAGCAGCGGCGATGCTCGGGATGGCCCCAGCGCAGCTCCGAGCACCCCAAAGAGCGGAAGGGAGGACGGAAGCCTTGGCGAGGAGGACAGCGAGCCGCCCACACGCAGACACAGCGCTCGTAAAGCGGCTCAGCCCTGTCTGAGAGGGATTAGGGCAGAGACCCAGCCGACTCGCGGCACCTGTGACCCAGAAGCAGGACCTTCCCCTCACCTCGGCTGTCTCCCCAGCCTTCCTGCCTGTTTCGCCAGGGTCTCCATCGCATCAGGCAGCTGCGCCGCGAGTGCCCGGAGCCGCCTCCGGGGATGGGGATGCTGCGAGGGGAGCCGGGAGCTGGACCAGGGCCTGGGGGCAGCACACGGCCCAGCAGGCCGAGGAGCTCCCCCGTGCTGTGGGTGCGTGGGGCTGTCCCCCTGTCCCCGGGGCTGTCCCGCTGCTCCAGCTGGTGCGGGGGGGTCACCCGGAGCAGGGAGGGCGGCCGTGGGCAGCCTCCTCGGGCCACCGCGAGGCCAGGGCTCACCCGCAGTGGGTCCCACACGCTGCCCATCCCAACTCAGCAGTGGCGGGAAGCGCCCCAGCACATCCCGAGGAGCCGCGTGAGCCCCCGCTTGCTTCGTAGCCCGCAGCACCCCAGCCCGGCGTGTCTCGCCAGAGCAGCCCCTCGCGGAGGCACCGAAGGCTCCCGCGCTCCTCCTTGCGCGGAGGCCGGAGGCCGCAGGGGAAGCGCCGCAGAGCAGCCGCAGCAGCACCGGCACTGCCGCCCGCCTCTGCCGCCCGCCGCAGCAGCAGGCAAATGSAGAATGAGGCTTTTCCCGGGAAAAGGGGGAAAGAGCCAGAGCGAGACGGGTGCCAGGGAGATGTCCCAAGACGAACACAGCGGAACACAGCGGACCCACGCGGGCCGGCCCCGAGGCGCGCGGCAYTGGCGGGTTATTAGCACTGTGTTAATGAGCATCGTGTTAATTAGCGGCACAGGGAGGGCGGTTTTAGCAGCTCCCGGCCACTGTCGCCGCCTCGGCGTGTAGCCCTGCGGCTGCCCTGGCACTCGCGACCCACAGGAATTCCTCGCTGCTTTGGACATATTTATTGCTCTCCCAGAAAGTCCTACCCCCAAAGGTCACACTAGCACAAAAGAGAAGCGTGATAGCACAGAAAATCACATGAAATTAACACCAGCGCTCTACATCCTAAGCCACACAGCAATGAAAGCAGCCCCTGGAGCCAGGGTGTGCTGGCACGCGGGGGGTTTATTTTTTGGTCCAAACTCACATTTTGCAATAACACAAACCGACAAAAAGCTGAACCCCCAATTAAGAAGACTCCACTGGGAAGCATCTCTCAGCCTCTGGCCAAACCCCAAACCCTCTGTCCCCCTGTGCCCGGCAATTACTGCCATGGGCTCCCAGTGGAGCGCGTCCTGCTGCAGCCCCGTGGGAGCAGGGAAGTGACGGGTGTCATCCAGTCCCTGAAACACCAGGGACATCCCAGCCCTTCCCTCTAGCGCCTGCAAAACTGCTCCAGGAAGCACGGAGGGATGGGCTGAGCCCACCAAACTCATCACACTTGTGACAGAGGCAGGGAAGCAGAGCACGCGGCTGCGGCCTGTGTGATACCCGGCACAGTGACAGGGCTGGGGCACCCTGGGACGCTCCTGGCTACATCCTGATGGACGTGGATGGAGCTCCTGAATGGAGCTTGGATGGCTCCTGCTCTCAAGGCACCGCTTAGGAAAGAGAAACTAATGGCCCCAAAAACCACCCCAAATTAGCTGCAGAACTGGCCTGATTTCCCAACAGGAGCCAGCACCTCCATCCCCAGGGCCCTGCCGGCTGCGAGGGCAGCACAGGGGCCCAGGGCAGCGCTGGGCCCTGCAGCCCAGCCAGGGCACTGCGGCTGATGCCAGGCGGAGCGGGTAGCACCATCCGCACCTTTCTGCTCCTTAGTCAAATATCTCATTACCTGCAATCCCGGGCAGCACTGGGGCTGGCCCTGAGGCCCACCAGGCTCCCACAGGAAGCAGCAGCTGCCCCATGGCAGTTTCACTTATTACTTTTCTATTTTTGAGCTGCAGCATCAAGCTCCAAGAGCCAAAGAGAACAGAGAAGTGAAAGCGACATTTTTAACTTCACCCCATTTTGCACTAAAACAGCTGGGAAAGAAAATCTGATCCTGGCGTGGAAAAACGTGGCAAACTTTCCTCCGCATCGTGCACACCCACGGGCGGGTCGAGGGGCAGCTCCCCGTGCTCCGAGCACCGCAGAGGGCTCCCGGCGCTGGGAGGCGGCCGGGGGCCTCGCGGGGCGTTCGGCCGCACACGGGCTGACGAAACGCGCGGAAATCGGCGGCCTCCCSGCCGGGGAGAAACGGGCGCCAGGTCCCCGGGGCCTCTGGCGCGGCGCGAACTCGTCCCGGCCTCGGGGCAGCCCCGAGCCAGCACCCAGGGTCCCGGCACCCGCCCTGGCCCCGCGTGCCCAGCCGGGCAGCTGCGCCCCCCAAAACCCTCTTCTTCCTCCCCAGCTGCCCCGCGCAATCGGGCACAGGGAGGGAGGAGCCCCCGACTCCCCCGGGGCGCGGCGAGGAGGAGGGTCTGGGCCCCCGGGGGGAGGAAGGCGCACATCTGGTGCAGGTGCGGGGCTGGATGGACACCCTCCTCCCGCCCGCATTCAACAGCTGCCCCGCCGACCGCCCCCACGCTGCCAACCTTGGTGGTGCACGGGCGGCTACGCTCGGCTGGCCCGGCCCGGCCCGGCCCGGCCCGGCCCGGCGGCTGCTCCGGCTGCTCTTCCTCCTCCCTCTCCCGCCGCCGCCCGGGCCCGGCCCCGCCGGACAATAGCGCGCGCCCCTCCGGCAGCGCGGGGGCGGAGCCCGCGCCTTCATTAGCATCCGGGCGCATCTCCGCCAATAGGAGCGCGCGGCCGCGGAGGGAACAGACGGCTGTTAGCATAAAGCCTGCCCTTTCCTCTATTTGCATAGCACGGGCGATGCGACCAATCAGAGTGGCCTAAGGCAGTTATCATTATCATAATTTATGCAGCGCGCGCCCCCTCGTGGAGACTCCCGCGGCTCCGCGGTTACATCGGCCCCACCCGAGAAACCACCCGGAGCGGGCGGGGGGCGGGGAAACGGCTCCGTTCCCATCGGGATGTCCCACCATTCCCATCGGGATGTCCCACCGCCCCAGCGGGGCCCTCGCATCGGGGCTCCCCTCCTGGCCTCCCTGCGGGTGCTCCGTGCCCCTCTGCTGTCCCTGCAAGCACAGGCCCGCCTGCCCCCCCCAGGCCCAAAGCCACTCAAAACGCAGCCTTTTTTTCTAACCCGTTAGATTTATTGAAAAATTAAAAGCACAAGCTCTGTATATATAAATACAACGACATTGCCAGCAATATACAAGGCCTGCGGGTGCCCCCTGTGTCCCTGCGGTGCCACCCAGGGGTCCCCAGGTCACCACTGGCAGCCGCGAGAGCCGCCAGCCTCCCGCTTGCCCAGCCCCGCGGCACCGAGTGGATGGGGACACCCGCGCTCCGGCCGTGCCCTCTCCCGGGACCTCGGTGCCACAGGGGCGCTGCTCCGCGGGGCAGCCSCCAGCCCCAGGGCACCTTTGGCCAAGACGTGCACCGATGTCTACATGGCCTCAGCCTGCCCACGGTGATGGGAGATGCGTGGGGGTCCCGGTCCCGTGCATCGTGCCAGCGCGGGCTCCGCGTGCCTGCGTGCTCCGGACACTGCGCTGTGTGTCCGCTCGGCTGCTCTCCTCACCTGCCCCGCTCCTCCSGAGCCCTGCGTGGCTCCTAAAGGGCCACGTTGAATTCTGTGACCAGGAAATCGATGTAGTCCTTCTCCTTGAGTTTGAAGGCCTCGGCGATGATGCGCGCTGCCTCCCGGTGCTCTTTGCCGCGCAGCCCCGTGCCGTTCACCTCCAGGATGACGTGTCCCACCTTGAGCTTGCCGCAGTTGTGCGCAGAGCCCCCGCGCTACGGAAGGGGGAAGGGGGCAGTGAGCGGGGGAGCCCCCAGCCCTGCGTGGCCAGCACCCAGGAACTGACTGCGGGACCTGCCACAACAGGGGACAAGGGCTGGTTCCGCTCAGCAACCCCCCATGGCCAAATGATGCCCCTGGCATCCAAAGCTCACCCTGGGGCCGCACTCCGGCCTGGCCTTGGCCAAGCCTGCCCAGAGCTGGCAGCGAGGAGAGGGATGCTACGTGCACCGAGTTGCCGCGGTCTCAGCCTGCCCTACCTGGATGGTGACGATGCGGGGCAGCGGCTGCCGAGTGTTCGCTCCACCCTCGATGGCGATTCCCAAGGTCGGGGCRCTCTTGGACACTCGGATCAGACACGAGGTGGGCTCCAAGAGCCCGGGCTGCAGGAAGAGAGGTTTGCCAGGCTGGACAGGGGCCGCGAGCCGCAGAGCGGGTCCCTGGCTGCCTGCCTGGGCCCCCAGGCCACCAAGATCGAAACCCTCCAGTCTGACACCTGGTATTGTCTGCTGCTCCSGGGGCCAGCAGAGACCTCAGCCAGGGGACATGGTACCGTGGAGATGTCCCTCAGAGCCAAGAGCTCCTCCGTGTCCCCAGGGGTTRTTTGCCGGAGCTGCAGTTTGAGCCAGGATGGTGCAAACGTGCCCCCCACCACCCCGGGCCCCTTTCTGCCAGCTCAGCCCCACAGGGAACGGAGAGGTGCCACCCCCTGCCCAGCATGGGGAGACAGTCTGTGCACAGCCCCTGTGGGCACCCGGCCTCACCGGCTTGGAGGCCCCCTCTGCTGCCCCCTCGCTCATCACGGCCTCCGGGAGGCTTCGGCCTTTCCCAGGGAGCGGCTGCCGGCTCTTGTCCTTGCTGCTGGTCTCGGCGTCGCCAATGTCCACGCCGCTGTCCTCGCTGAGGGTCTGCCCGCTGTCTGACAGCTGCGACAGCGTGGAGGCTGAGGAGAGACACAGGCTGTTAGAGGGGCTGGGACGCGGCCAGCGCTCCGAGCAGCGGCCATGGCAGCACCGGGCAGCTCCGCTGGCAGCATCCCTCACCTGCAGGAGCTGGTGTCACCCCTGGGGACACAGGCAGCAGTGCCAGCTCGGGCTCATTTCTGCYCTTAGCAGCAACCAAGGCACTGGCTGCAGTGGGAGGCCAGTGCCTCGGGAGGGCGACAGTGCCACACGCACAGCGACGAGGCGAGGCCACCAGCATGGGGACCCTGCGGGGACCCCCAGGGCCTGCGCCCCAATCACTGCGACCTCCCTGGGCACCCCCAGGGCCTCCCTGCTCCTTCCTGCTGAGCCCTGCACTGCTCCCCAGCACTACTTCTCCCGGATGAACCTGCCCCCCACAAGCAGCTTTCTCCAAAAGCAGCCATTAATGGGAAAATCCCATAATTGCTTTGAAAATTCCACCACAAGCAGCTTTTATGAACTGAAGCCTCCACAAGAGTCACGTTGCAATCAGCTGCCTGCCCCACTTTGGGCTTTAGGCCAAGGTCAGACTCAGTTGCGCTGCAGAGCACCTGGGAGGCTTTWCCCAGCCCTGAATGCCGCTGCGGAGCGGCCGCCACGCTTGGGTTCCTGCCACTGCCCCAAGCCCAGGCTGAGGGTGTCGTCTTGGAAAGATCGATGCTGCCACTGCTGCTAATGTCACACCCCAGACACACCCCAGAAGAACAAAAACACAACTCAGAACAAAACCACAACTAACGAACGAACCACGGAGCGGCACCGCAGTGACGCAGGAGCTTTGGCTTCTCCCAACTCTGTTAACTTGGAGTTTGGAGCTGAACTGCTCAGTTGGGTGCCAYGGCCCCTCACTGGCACATGCCACATCTGCACTGGGAATGGGGGAAGCTCTGAGGCACAGCCTGCTGCCCAGGYAGGTACCTCTCCCTCTTGCCCTGGTTCTCTCAGGGTTTTGTTCACCCCAAGGGTGGCAATGTGCTCTGCACATCTTACAGGACCAGGTGCCGCTCTCCTACTCTGACGTGCTCTCCAGGGCAGCCTGCACCATCGGCAGCTGCTTCCTGCAGCAGCTGCTGGACCTGCTTCCACTCCATAGCCCAGGTGGGTCCGGCAACTGCAAGAGCAGCTGGTGCTGAGCTTTGAGCTCAAGTCAAAGCAACTCAAGAGCCACCATCCCCAGAAAGCAGAGAGGTTGATGGCAGCGGGGATCTGTTACCCCCGAATGACTGCTCCCACTAGGACACCCACCTCTGGCCTGGGGCAAGGGCCTCACTTCGTTGACGTCAGGCTCGCTGTTGGGTTGATGAACCTCCACCATGATGAAGTGCTGGTTGGTGACTGCCCGCGGGCTGCCTTTGTCCGGTGGCGGCGGCGCTGGGTGGGACGGAGGAGGAGGAGGGGACGGGGAAGATGTGCTGGGGAGCCCACAGGCTGCAGGGCTCTCTGGGGACGGGCTCTTCAACCTTGTTGGGGACTGGACTCTGGGGAAAGGACCGATGGGGTGCTGGCTGACCAAGGAGAGCTGCGCGTCTACATGCCTCCTGGAGCTGTGCAGGGCTGGAGAAATGGTAGCGTAGATAGCGTTTGGGGCAGACTCCTCCGTGGACGAGTTAGTGGAGGAGGTCAGGCTGACTGTGTCCTTCTCGGGGTGGCAGGGAGGGGGTGTTGGGTTTCGGGGGGCCACAAAGAAGAGGCCTGACTGAGAGGACTCGGAGGAAGGGCGCTTTGGCTTCTCTTGTCCAGGGTTCCTGTGCTGGGCAACAGCGGGGTCCAGCCTCTGAGGGGCTGAGGGAGGAGGCGGAGGCTTAAAGTCGGGTGGTTCTTCTGGGAAGGATGACAGATCATCCTGTCAAACCAAGAACAGAAGCGTTTAGGATCTCAGGCACAATCCCTAACCTTACAATCACCTGGTATCTGCCTTCCCATGGTGACCACAGGAAAACTTGCTGATTCTGATAGAAATGTCTCCCTGAGCTTACCAATATGACTCATAAACGAAGATGCTTAGAGGACAAATCACCCAAGTTTTGCTTTAGCTCCTGTAAGTGCAGATGTTACTTTTATTCAAAAACTTACTCAGAGACAACCCAAACTGGTCTAATTCATTTGCTTCAGTACTAACACCCTGCTGCAGTCACTAACACTGCAAAGAGCTACAGAAGCTGAGGCAAAACTCAGTATCATCAATTTGCACCCAGCCTCCACTCGAGGTGCTGCAAGGTGATGCAGTTTCTTACCAGGGAGATGTCTGGCAAGGTGTTGATGCTGCTTTGTTGGTTGTCTCCACCTCCCTCCARTTCTGATGCGTTCTGAGAGGGCAAGAAAGGAAGAGAAAACCCAGTTACTGCAGCGGGAAGCAGTAGCAAAGGGGCAGGAAGCATGTAGAGGGAGGCAGCACAGGGCCTTTCACACGAGGAAAAGGTTTGCATTGCCTGCAAGGCTCCCGTGGACACTCGCACACCACAGGGACAAAGTGAGTCTCCAAAGTTAGGAAATGAGCTCAAAGCAAGCTGTGAACCTCATCGAAAGAAGTGATTTCCTCTACAGTAGAGGAACATGCTCCTCTTAGCCCATATATCAGCTCTATATTTAAATTAGAAGACGAGGAAAGGAGGAAGCAACTTTGAGGGTTGTGAATTCAATGCTCAGGGAGGGATCCTTCCAGGAGGAAGTGAAAAGTTAAAACCTTTTATCTCTCCCCCAAAACAGAGTATTTGGATAGAAAAGCATAGAAGCCACTTCCTCTGTTCCTAGCAAAGCAAAATGTCATTAGGGAATATCACACCACAGCCTTGCAGGTATCATGGTGCCAGGGACAGGGAGGACTAAGACAGTCGGTCTGCGCGTGCAGGGATGACTAGCCATGGGACAGGCCGGAACAGAAGACCCACACGGACAAGCAGAGCCACCAGGCAGCCTGGCTAAGGACGGGCAGGGAAGGGCTGGCACACCCCGGGCACAGAGGTGGGCACAGCTCTGTCCTGGAGCCRTGTCCAGCCTTCAGCTCTGCTCCAGGCACCGAGCGGCTCTGGACGAGGAGGCTCCTTCACGTGTGCCGGAACGGGCAGGCACCGTTTCCATTTAACGGGGTGGTATTTATTGCATTATTAACAACCCATTAGCTGAAACACTAGTGCATCTGCATGATCCCATCTGCTGCAGGCTCCTGCCATGCCTGTAACCTGTCAGTGTCACAAAACAGACAAACAATTAACTGCATTAGAAAAGCAGCAAAAACACTGCTGGGAAGTGTTTTATCTCTGTAGCTTCAGAGGGACCCCCRGCAAATGAGAAAGCAAAATGAAACTGCTTCTTCCTGACCTGGCAGGGAAAGAATTAGCTTGGGAGATGGCTTCTTCCTCGGCAGAGGGGAATCTCAGCCGTGCACCTATCACCACCCTCTCCAGCTCTGCCTCCCAGTGTCCACTGAGCTTTTGCCAATTGACTCTGCCCACAAGACCAGGAGCAGCCTGCCTGCTAAGCCCACTGCCCCTAGTTTCACATTACTGGAAGAAGAGGATCTGCCCGGTGTCCTGCTGACATGGGCCAGTGCCCCCGCGCCCTGTGCCGAGCCCCATGCCCATCACCGTGGCGCCAGGCCCTTCCTCCAGTGCCCCACACATGTTCACCTCTGCAGGAAGGTGCTGCAGCTCCAGCCCAGCAGCCAGGAGCACCATCCACCAAGGCCTGGATCATCCTGGCAACCCCTCCGTGAAGCCAGGAGGCTCCGGGAGCCTTTCCTGGCAGCCCCGCCGGGAGGCCCCAATCGCACTCCTTGGCTCTGCTCTTCCCCATTACTCAGTGACACTAACACTGCTCCTGCTCAGGCTCGTGTGTGACGAAGGGGATTTGCCTTCCCCTTACTGCCTTGGGACCTGGCTAGACAGTGTAATACCTTTTAAAMTAAGCACATTTGGGCATCAGTGGTGACTTCTCCCAGGGGCTGCTTGCCCTGCCCCGGGGAAGGAAGGGGCTGGGTTACGTCCTCCTTTTCTCTGTTCTCATCCTACCCGGTTTCTGGAGACATGAGATCCTCTGGCAGCTGCCAGGATGTTGTGGGCTCGTGTGTTTGATGTTCCCTTTCCAAAAAGAGGAACAGCTCCCGCCCCACGTGGCTGCTCCTTCCTTACTTCTGCTTCTTGTGAAACAGAGCCCCAAAACAGGCACAGATGTTAGTGGCCGGGTCGGATCCCCCGCTTGCGAGCACAGTGGCTTCTGGGGGCTGGGAGCAAGCCAGCACTGTGGAATCAGGCCCTGGAAGAACAGATCCTTATGGCAGGCGTCAGAGAAGATAAATAAGATCAATGGCGTTTTCAGTTCCCTAATTACAACAGCAAGCGCTGGGGCAGGAGGCAGGGACAAAGAAAATGCAAAATCCCTAGAGGATTGTCATGGCTATAAGCAGGTTAGAAATTCAAACTGCTCAGATCAAACCAGCTGCATCTGATTATTCCAGTTAATAACAAACCTCTGCTTTGCAGGACTCATCTTGGATTCAAATCTTCCATTAAAAAGAAGTGAAGGTGAGGCTTAGCCAAGCAGACAAACATCCAGTGGGTGGCACAAATGAATAAGGCCTCGTCTCATCTCTGGGTAACCTTCAAGCATCTCATGACAAAATCACTTGTTGCCTGGCAAGTCCTGTTCAACTTCACGTGGGTTATTTTTGGTGAGAGTTTATCTCTGAAGCCACAGAGAGCAGCGGGGATGRCCGCGTGGTCTAATATCAGTGACTGGAGATGAAGCCAAAGCAAAGCACATCCCASAGTTTGGGGTGATTTAACGCCAGGTACCCATGATTTACCCCAGGTAAAGCACAATAGGGCTCTGTGGCAGGGCACGAGCATGTGGCTCTTCTTAGCCTCCTCCCAACCAAAAACTCTGTTATGCTGGAAAAAATTTTGAGGTTTTCCCCACATCCATTTTCAGAAAGCCCACGTAGCCTCCCTAATATATGTGTGTGAGTTTATCCCAGGCTGAACACTCCCAACGCAAGTGCCTCGATCCCTCCTGCACCAGGACACAGATTTCTGCAGACCACAGGCTTGGCAGGAAGTCCTCTCTGCGCTTTGAGGGTGTGTGACACTGAGCAGTGGTCCTTAGCCAGGGTGCCTGCACAGGGAGGCAGCACAGCACAGCAGCAGGAGCAGCAGGAGCAACAGTAGGACCAGGAGGCACAGGGAGGCGCAGCGCAGACAGGCAGGGCGGTTGGGGCTCCGTGGCACGTSAACGCTGCTTGTCCCTCTAGCAGCCCAGCACGGAGCTGCCAGTGGTGCAGGTAGCGTTAGCGCGAGCAGGACGCTGGTGCCAGCGGGGTCCTGCTCAGAGTTAATGACRTGTTGGAAAAGGCACTGCAGTCTCGTCACCAGCGCAGCATCCACGCCGGCAGCCACTGAGCGAGGGGCTCGCAAACGGCTCCGCCGAGAAGAGAGAGCAGAGAGCACGGGGAGCGAGAGGCGGCTGCTCACGCGGCTGGGCGCGTGCTGCCTCTGCAGGGGCCTGGCCTTGTCCCCCATCCAACACGCGCTCGCACACGCTCTCAACACATCTGCTATGGCAACCACAGCACTTGAGCTCCCCGCCTCGCTCATAGCCCCTACCTCCATCAGGTCTATCAGCCATAAGAGCCGCTCCTGGGCGCGTGCGAGGGGAAAAGCAGATTAAAACAAGTGTGAAGAGGAAAATAAAACATCAGGGAGAATACAGAAAACCCGAGTGAGACAAGCGAACCCCCAGAGCAAAGCCCAGCACAATGCCCCCCTCCTCCCTCAAGCCCGTCCAGCAGAATCCACATCCAGCYGTATCCCAGGCTGAAGGGCAAGGATGCAATCAGCTCTCTCCTTTGGGAGGTGCTGGTGAGGGTGATAGTGGGGAATTAGGACGGGAAAGGGAAGAGCAGCCAGTGTGGGAGCCCTGCCCTTCTCTCCCCTGCTAGCTGAGGTAGGTGCTTATTTAGAAAAGCTCATACTCTCGGCTTGGCAGCTTTTACCACCACTGCTTGCTAAAACCTCTCAAGTTAGTGTGAGGAACATGTGAGGAAGAGCTGGAGATGGGTGTTCTGTTCTCACATCCATGCTCACAGGATAAGGATAGAGTGGTCACTCTTCTAAGGAGGATCTCCAAGGAGAAGGACCTCTCCACAGAAGGCCATGTGCTCTCACAGGGAGCTTGTAAATCCAAGGCCTGGTAGATGGTGGCCATGAGGCTTCCCTTGTCTCCTTTGCTCATCTCTGAGCCCATGTGCCAGGAGAGGCTGGGTCCCTGCTCACCCATGAGGCCCATCAGCCACCCTGGCATCGTGCAGCAGGATGGACAGCACAGTGAACACAAAGCACAGGGGACAGACTGGACACTGTGATACCAGCCAAGTATCACACTCGCTGAGTAAATCCTGGCTGAGCTCTCTGTTAGGTCTCTGTAAGCCTTTTTTCCCCGCAAGCCTTCCTAGAGGGGCATGAAACTTTGCTTACTGTCACCCAGAAAGGACCTCGCTGCAATCCACCCTGCAAGGAGCAGACAGCTTTCCTACATGGATGTAGGAAATCAACCAGACGTAGAAGAACAGCTCTGACACTCTGAAACTCCCTGAGCCCTCCCAGGGAGCTGGACTGGACCGTGACAGCAGCCACAGGCCCTAGGAAAGGTCCCCACCCTCTCCCCCTGCCAGTCTTGTAGCCGGGCCCTGCGCAGCGCGGTCCCATCCGCCCCGCACGTGGGCTGGTTGGCCTGTTGTTGAACTAGCAGGAGCCCGTTGTCATCTGCCCTTTTCATGAAGCTTTTAATTTCTAGGGTTGCTAATGCATTTATGATGAAAGGCATTTTATGGCTAGGAAATTAATTTCGGGGCTGTGTGTGTTCCTGCACTCTCAGAGGCGATTATGATAACTTAATTAGTGCATGAATGGCTGGAACTGAGACGTGGGAGTGCTGCTGGCTGCACGCTGCGGGGGGCGCGGAGCTGGCGGCTGGGACAGGGTACAGGTGGTGTGGATGCAGCAGGATCCATCAGCACAGGGCAGGACAGGAGGCAGCCAGCCTCCTTGGCGGAGGGACAACCAGAGATGCTGAATAGCAGCAGGCCATGACCAGCAGGTTTTGTGTGGACAGAGCCATCGTTGCTCAGTAAAGACCACGCAAGGGAAGCAGAATTCTCCCCTCACTGGGCAGAGAGTGATGCTTAGCACCAGGCACAGCCCCCACGCAGAGGACAGCGGTATTTCTGTCTGAAGGACACTGAGATACCAACAAAGTCTCACTGCATCTCCTTGTTGCACCTACAAAGCCCCTTGCCTGAGAAGGATCTTGGAGCCTCTTGAAGTTCAAGTACCCAGAACGCAGACACAGGGCCCAGAAGACGCATGGGATCCTGCCAGCGGGCCCTGCTGCGCCTGCAGGTGCACTCTGCTCTCCACCTGCTCCCACAGCTGCTTCTGACTCCTGCCAGCTCACCCAGCTCYGCTGCAGGCCCCGTGTCCCTGCTGCAGAGCAACTGGACGCAGCAAAGGGCTTTCAGAGCAAGGTGGGGGTTCTGAGGGACCTCCAGGGAAGCGAGTTCACTGTAGGGCTATCAGGGCAGAAGGTGTTCAAAGAAAAAGGAACAGCCAGGAGAGACTTACCCTGGCTGAGCTGACAGTTGTCGAGGTGAAGTGGCTGCTGGAGGAAGAGACGGTGTCGCTGTAGGACATCATGGAGTAGGAGTCGGTGCCGATGCTGGGAGCCGAGGGCTGCCGGGCCTTCATGGACTCGATCTCCCGCTTCAGCACCAGGTTGTCGAAGCGGTCGAGGTCTTGTGGGGAGATCATGCCCCGCACCTCCGAGAGTAGTGAGAACTGGGCCAGGCAGCGGGACAACCAGAGAGAGATTGGAACACAGCCATACTCCCAGGTAGGTGAATGCCCACCCTCCCATCCTGTTCAGCTGTGGTGAGGATATATACTGGTAKGGCTAAGGAGGTCCTGAACTTGTCCAGAAGTGCCTTTGTCACGGAACACTAAACAATATCCCTCATTATGCCCTATCTCTAGGTTTTGCTTTTGTATCCTCTCTCTTGATTCTCAGCAGATAACCTTGAACTTTGGTTTTATTTGAAAGCTCAYGTGCAAAAGGGGCTTATGTCTCCTGAAAGGGCAAGCAAGCCCGGCAGGCAGYACCGAACCACACTGTGACAGCAGCTCTGTCCACTCTACGGGGTGGAGGAACCTACCTCCAACCCCAGCACAGGCCTCACCTTAGCATGTGTGTTGAGCAGTTCGAAGAGTGCCATGACCAGAGCATCCACGGAGATGTTGCCTTCCTTATACTCATCAAGGTAGTAGCCCATGGTTGCCCGCTCCTGCTCATTGAGCAGGTGCCGCGCTTGTTCTTCCAGCATGACCCGGCTCTGGTTCACCATGCTGCTCAGCRTCACCTGGGAGCCCGCCAGCCCTCGGTAAAACACAGGCTGCAGAAGACACAAAATAGGCTTTGGCCTGGGATGTTAAGAAAGCAGCTGCTGCAACCCGCYGCCAGAAAGAGGAGCGGCCATGTAAACAACTAGGTCATCCCCAAGAGAAATAAACTGAAAGACCAGCCAGCCTGAAAAGGGGGTCTCTGATGAGGGCAGGACAGCCACTTGACAGAGCCTCTCCTCCCATACCTGCTCCACCACCAGCCAGCCCATCRTCAGCCTGGACAGAGCTCGTCTGTGCCGGACAGAAGAGTGTTTTTTGCCCTGACACTGGCCACTTTGCCAGGCTCCAAGATTGGCTGCTGTTGGCAAGGGCCAGCTGCCCACTAGTAGGGTTTGACRGCCCTGCGATAGCGGCTCTGGACACCGTGCTCAGTTGTGGTATGTCAGAACAGAYGCTCCTTCTCAGTGCAGCGTGCTGGCAATGGCCTTAGCAGATTTTGCCTGATCACCTTCCAAAGACGTCAGATATCCTGGGGAGCTGCCCGAGCTCTTCTGCAGGCAGCACATCCTTAATCGCCCCATTGGGAAGCACTCTGCTCTCTGATGACCCTTCCCAAGGAGCTTGGAGGCTGGGGGAGAAGAGAGGGAGTGCAGCGAGCAGCAGAGGAGAGGCCAAGCAGGAGATGAGGGCTTTGCAGAGCTCCTGCCCGTTGGTTGCAGGACGTAACTGCAGGGACATGGGGACAGGCTGCGAGTCAGAGGCCACCGAACCTCATTGAGTGTTAGGAGACAGGCAGCAGAAGCAAGAGTCACCCCTTGCCCTGTGCTCTGCCTCAGGACTCCCACAGCCCCGCCGCCTGCTCTGCCCCTGTGGTGGCTGGGCTGGAAAGCAGCACCAAAGGAGGGATGCACAGCACGGCGGCAGGCAGATGCCCTCAAGCACTCGCCAGCACGGCTTAAGCGTCACTACGTGTCTGAGCAACTCCAGAGCCAAGAGCAGTTACCAGTTAGAGTACCACCTAAATAAACAAAATAGCACCACAGCTCTATTCGACACGCAAGGATGCCGGTCCTTGACTAGCTAGTGATTTGACAGCAACATGTATTCCTCCACCTGGGCAACTTAGTGCCCCTAGAGAGGGTGCAAGCTCMAAGTGGAGCCTGCCGAAGAAACAGCCACCAGCACCCAAAGGAGTCCCCGAGAGAGACAATTCTGACTGCAGGCAGGATCTCTACTGATTTCTAACAGAGAAGCCCCTTGCTGTTCCCCTCCCTGGCAGTGTGGGGACACGGAGCCAGACAAGGCAGTGCCAGAGGAGCGGCAGGTCCTTGCTTTGCCAAGCGAACGCGCAGCGCCGTTATCAGCGCGAGCCACCTGCAGCGTCTCACTGCCTCATTTCAGTTTAAAGGAGAGCGCTCTGCACAGAGGTGTGGGGAGAGGACGAGCTGATGCAGAGCTGCAGGCMCCGCACGGGGCGGATCGGCGCCGCTGTCCGGTCCTTGCTGCCGGCCGCCGCGTGGGCAGGGCTGGCCCAGCTCGGCTGCGCCGTGCCCAACGCTGCAGCAGCGCCCAGGGCCCTGAGGGGCGTCAGGACCATCGCTGCAGCGTGGAAGGGATCCCCCCTCTCTGTCCCTGTCGGTATGGGGAGAAAAGGGGGATCTGACTCTGTCCTGCAGTTCTCTCTGCATTCGCCTCCCACTGGATCTGATCCAGCAGAACCTCTCAGCACCTCTATCTTCTTCCCAGAGATGACTGTTTTGCCTCCAGTGCACACCAGCCCTTGGAGGGATCTCACCTCCCCATTCTGCACCACAAGCCAGGTCTCAAACTAGACCAGGTTCAACAAAAAGCGACCCAGGCCCAGGGCAGCCTGGGCAGGGGCACATCTCTCCTTTTCAGGGCAGGCTGGGCTGTCTCGTGAGGACACTGTATCATTAATGGCATCATTCCCAGGCYGGGAAGCATCCAGTCTGCTGCAGAACAGGCCCAAAAGCAACTCAGCAGCAGAGGTGGGGCATTGTGTCACCCTCTGGAGAAACACAGCTGGCCAAGTGAGATGGGCAACTGAAAGACCAGAGGCAGTTAACGTTCACCGGTGCCTGCAAACACTCCTTCTATAGTCAGGAGCACAAAGCCAGTCCTCCCTCCCACGGAAAGCAGGAGACAATGACACCCATCTCATGAGGCACTTAGAAGGTTGAACATCTCTTACCCTGGCTGTCGCCTCCGCAGCGTGGTTGCCCACTGCCCTGTGAGGAGGGAGAAGATCAGTTAGCACAAGTGTTGTGTGTCCAGCAAGGCACCCCCAGAGCCATCATCACCTGGGCCTGGCACAGGGTCTGGCACACTCATTTCTTTCAGTGCCTTTGCTGTAAGTTAACACCAAGATACATCCCTGGCCTGAAGGCTGAAGGAAGGGGCTCTTAACGAGGCAGAAACATATTCTCTGGACCTGATCAACATCACAGGTCATAGATGCCATCTTTCAAGCACCACATAAGGAGCACAGGGAGTGCTCTCATAGACAGGTCACAGACGCACATCAAAGGGCATCAAGCTGCCAGCCTTTCCATGACAAAGGATGTACTACTATACCTTTCCTTGGTGACCGTCTATACCCTAAGGAGAGCTCCAAGTTGGGAGTCTTCCATGGCAATCTTGCAAGGGACTAGCACCAAGCACGTACCCTGCTGAGTTGACGAGGGTCTCTCCGATCTGGGAGCTTGCTATCCACCTGGTCTCATCCACGGTGGTGCGGGCGTGGGGCAGTCTCCCAATGTCCTTCACTGTCATGATGAGGTGGCGGGAAGACTTGAGCATTTTCACGGCCTCGTCATGGGGGATGCTGAGGAAGCTTCTGCCATTCACCTCCAGGATCTGGTCTCCTACCTGCAGGATCAGACCAAGCGTTAAAGCTGACAGCCAGTGCCAAACCAGGCTGTAAAGCTTGGAAGAGTCTGCATTTGGGATTCCAAGTCAAAGCAGCCTGCCCATTGCCTTCTGCAGGTTTGAAACAACCCCTAAGAACACATGATCCAAGACCTCCACCCTGCTCCCTCTTGCTGGAGGCAAAGCAGCAYGCTGCTATGAACCTCAGCTGCCTGTGCAGCATGGAGAGGTCAGTCTGAGTGTCCCACCGTAGCCTCGAATTCTATGTGAAATTTGGGGTCTGAAAGCTGGGATTTCATCCCTCTCCTCCTATTTCCTCCCCAGCCTTCCCCTGCTGCTACTGGTAGCTTTCATTTGTGCCCACGGTCTTCACTGTAACCAGAGGCCTCCCTAGTAGCCTGGCCTTATTCCAAGCACAGCTTTCACCTGGCTTTTCTTCATCCCAGGTCCTCTTTCTCTTTGGTTCTAGGGCATTCACTGCAGCTCCTCCTCATTCACCTATCAAAATATGCTCCATTTCTGATAAACCACCTCTTTTAAACTGCTCTTTCATATCTTTGCTTAACCGCAGGCTTTAGTTCAGCTCTGTCAAAACACAGCCCTATTTTCTTTATGCTGCAGTACAAGCAGAACACGRCATTCCTCAAACAACTCAACCTTCTTGGGGAAGAAGAGGCTAAAGATGGGAGGCAATTTCAGAAGTTAAAATAATAAAATGGAGAATCAATTCCAATTCTTTCTGCTCAGCAGAGTACTGGACATAATTTTCCAAGCACTTACAGTTGTGCACTCCAGTGGGAGGCAGTGCCTGATCACTGGTGGGCTGTGATTCAGCTACCCCCCAAGTCCCAGGTGAAAGAGATGGCACAAAATCTCCATGAGAAGTGAGAGCAAAGGAGAAGACACCAAAGAATGAAGGATCCTGAGAATTCTCTGGAAGCTGATGAAGAGGAAAGATTCCTTTGCAAGGCATGAGACATGACTAAGGCCTCCTAAGTGAACAGAGCAGACACATGAAGTGACAGCCGATGGGCCACTTACGTGGCCGTGATTTCAGRAAGATCAACAGAGCCCACAATAAAAATACAGGATGGGAAATTGGGGATTCTAACACTAATGCAATGGTATAGCAATAATCCAAGTGACTGCACGACCTCACTGTGAGCCCTGCCTGCCGAGCGAGGAGAGGCAGGAAGGAAAGCGCCGAGAAGGGAGATAGCAATAATTAATGCCATGTGAGGGTGCCATGTGAAGGGAGAGATTGAAAAGATTACGCCTGTTAAAATTAGAGAGGAGATAAACATGTGGGGATGGACATCATGGAGGTACAGAAAAATAATGGGGCAATAATGAGAAGTCAAGGGCTCCTGCTTGACCTTCCTGCTAATGAAAGGAGAGCGGGCGCTTGGTGAGGCGGGAGGGCAGCGCGCTGCGAGGGAGCCCCAGTGCTGCTGCACGCTCAACGAGGCAGAGAGCTGCTGCAGAGCAGACATAAACACCAGCTCCTAGAGCTAGTCAAGAAAGACGTTAGGGCCCCAAGTCCCTGGGCTGATGAAGACTCCGAGGCTACAATTCAAAGGGAAGAGACGTCAGAGGCATTGCAAGAGCCCCTGCGGGGTCCCAGGGGCAACAATCCTGCAAGGGCAGCCATGCGGTTTCCTTTCCTCTCCTGGGGCTCCCCTCGGGAAGGAGGGCAGATGGGCTCGGGTCACACTCGGCCGGTTGTGCCGAGAGGCCGGTAGCCCTTCCCGGGACACAGGGCAGAGCTGCCTCAAAGCAGGATCCCGATCCCAGGGCACTGCGTAGCAGGGATCAGCTGCCAGGAAGGAACGCGAAACTTCCCCGCTCTGAGGGGCAGCCCAGGCCACCCCGGCCACCAAGGACCAGAAAACAGAAACCAAAAACCAAGACCATGTTCCCAACCACCAGATTCTGCAAGGACCTCAGGCTGCCTTCAAGCTCTGTCCACCTTAAAGCAACTGCCAGAAAACTGCTAACCACCAACAGACCAAGGAGGGTAAATTATGGTGGTGACTAAAGTGACAAGAGAAATGCACACTCGGGTGTAATGAGCATCATCTCTGGCTGTTTTAATGCACCAGGTGATGCACATTGGAGCCAATTCTGCTGCCAGAATRAGGAGTGCTGGGTTCACTGCAGCACTGAAAGGAGGAAAATCCAAACTCTATTAAATAGCTTTATTGCAATCATGAATCTTTAATAGTTTTTCCTCTCAAGGACTAAACTTTTACGATTTTTGTTCAAGACTGTTTAACAGATTTCATAAGCCATTCTTTAGTTCCTCTTCTCCAGGATGGGACAAAAGCAGCCCGGAATGTCCTTCCGATAACTGGGACTCTGGGGCAGGAGGTGGCAAAGAGGAGTAAAGAGCCTCACGAGTGCCACATTCCCGAGCAAATCCATCCCTGCGGGTGCCRGAGCAGCATGAAGTGGGGCACAGTGGGGCAGCACCGCAGAGGGGTCCGGGCGGACCCACCAAAGCATCAAGGTCACAACAGCACCGACCCCAGGAAAGCCCTATCTAGCGATGCCAGAATATTAACAGGGGACAAACTTGCCACAAAYGCCTAGATTTATGCACCTAGTGTGCAGGAAAAAAAAAAAAAAAAAAGACCTTGCAAGAAGAATTGCTGGTGAAGGACAGATAAACGAATCGCTGAACAGTTCACATGCCTACAAATCAGTCTGTCTGGATGATACAATCCTATTAGGGCAGGAGAGGATTTTTGCTAATAAACAGATAATCATTTCCCCCCCCCCCCCCCCCCCCAACTCAAGGACAACTTGGAAGAGGTAAAAAAAAAAAACACAGATACAAATGCAGCATCTGTTAAAACCAAGATTGACCCCAGCAAACTATTTGCTATATGCACAAATCCTAACTAGCAAGCAAATAAAGGAAGAAATAATAAAACATGCAAAAAACCTATTGACCTGGATATTTCAAAAGCAAATTTTCAGCTGGACTCACAACATGGTACGGGACCATCCCGAGTGCCTGAAGTCTTCTAAAAATGGAACTATTTTAATTTCCTAGGGGAAATTTACCCTGAAATACGTGGGTTGAACACGACACACAAAAAGTGATAAACCACAGATGAGAAGCAGAAGCCTTGGAATAACACGTCTTGATGCTGGGTTTGGCTGCTTCTCTTTCTGAAGGCAGGCAAAATAACATGGCAAAGGGGGAAGCACTTGAACCTTTCTGGACTTCAGATAAGGGTCCAGATATCCAAAACCTCATAAAAAAATGAAACTGGTTCATGGAAAATATCAATCACACGGACAGCAAATGTAGTAAGATATTTTCAACAAGAATTCAAGTTAAATGACACCAAACTGAGGTGGGAATAGCAGGGCTAATAGCATGCCAAGAAGTCTGGCATTAGCACAAGTCTTTAATGACACTAATGTGCCTGAAGAGAGGCTGTGCACTCACAGACACCACTAATGTAGGAGTCTCTCTAGCACAAATAATTACCAAAAACACATCCCAAGGAATTAAAAATATGAGTGGAGAAAAATATGAATTGATTTGGAAACAGTTATACTAAAACCTGTGGAAAAAAAAAAAAAAGTAGATATATGGGAAATAACTGTGTTGAACAGAACAAGGCAGATGCTGCAGGTCAGATAAGGCTGAACCTCCTATCAGAAGGATCAGGAATGGATGTGGGAGCCAGCAAAGGGAGCAGAAGGTGCCACAGGCTGCTGCAAATAGGGCCTTTTCCCAAAGCATCTCCCAATAAAACATGAACCAAGGGTCAGGGAAGGACACAAGGAGAAGAGGGGCTTTGGGAGCAGCCAGTGGTTTCACCGCTCCCATGCACAAGTTTCTGGCAGCCTYTCCAAAGAGCAGGATCCTGGGGGACGTCCAGCCTGGTAAAGGAGGACACGGTGCCAAGCACCGCTCCAGCCACCGCCGGCGCTGCCGTTGGTGCAAGGGCCACGTCTTGCACAGCACAACCTCACATCTTGCTACAAGCCTCACTACATCGCTGATTCCCCAACCTTTGAATCAGCCAAGGCACTCTTGGGTTGCTTTTTTGGTATCTTTTTCAATGGATAGACCCCCAGATACAAGCCAGCATCCGAGAAGCAGCTTCATGAATACCCCAGATGATGCAAAAATCATTTACTTTTTCCTATTTACCGCCTCTCTTCTCCTTTCTCTAGTATGCAGATACATATAGATTGTGGTAGACCCTTTTTACCCCAGCCTTTGTGACGGAAACTCATATTGAGCTGTTTGTCTGAAGAAAGCTACATGAAACCTTCTGTTTCTCATGTAAAGATCAAGTGGGAAAAAAAACGTTTAAAATAAAAAGGCAAAATATAAGGCTTAGGGAAAATGAATGAGAGGAAAAAAAAAAAAAATCAGGACGCAGAGCGCCACAGACTCTGGTAGAAGAGATTTAGCTCGTGTCCAGCATCACTATGGACATCACGGAGCGGGCGGAAAGGACAGAAGCTGAAAGCAAACAGGACCAACGCGCATCGCTCRTCAGGCCTCTGCTAACCTGCATCTTTTCAGCATGAGAACTTATACCTAGGCAGCATATTTTACAATGTGCTCGAAGAACGCATTGCCAGAAGCTCTGTGAATGAATAAATATAAAGGCAGCCGAGGCCAAGAATATGAATATTTACATATTGATGGGCTGCAGTGATCCCACTTGTTTTCTGCTGGTACCTGCAGAGCGTTCTGCTCTGTGGCCGTGAAGCCGGCGGAGCAGAGCAGACGCACCCAAAATAGCGTGATTTTAACCTGTTGGCACCGCTGAGACCCAGGTCTCCGCCTGGAACCCCTTTCCTGGAGCTGCAGCCCTACTTTCTGTAGCAGGTAAAAGCCAATCTAGAAATCTAGCTCATAACACCTTAGAGAAAGTTTCTTGATTTTAACAGGTTTGCAGCATCACTGGTTGTTTGTCATCTAAACATGTAAGGAAATTTCAAAAATGTCATTAGAACATTCAAAATTTCTGATTTGGAACCATGGATGCAAGAGGGATTTCTAGGATACCTCCTTACCAAGAATGAAGAGTTTGGCAAAATTAACTGGAAAAAAAAAAAAAGGAACAAATTCAGTGCCATCAAATCTGTTTTTTTGTTTGTTTGTTTTAAAGCAAAACCATGTTGCCCAGTCTTTGCTTCCGAACAGTCCCTGTCTTCTCTGTGCCCTTGTCAGCGCACATCTCCTCAGTGCTTCATGTCAGAGATTGATTTCCTAAAAGCCCAGTCCCATTTAGGCTCAAACTAAAAGGCATTTRAAGGCACCTACATCACACTGGATGCCACAGTCTGGAGCCAAGGCAAAGCGAGTCACCTGAGGTTACAGCGAGTCTGTGCTAGAGCAGGAAAGAAAACTCAGGGCTTAGAAACCAGATTCAAAAGCTCCTCATAAAGGAGGTTGTATTCCTTATCCCTGAGATAATGCTTAGCAGGTCTGTAGTTACTTACCTGCTGACAAAATATTTCTAATGTATTTRGTGAGCAAGACAAGAAGATCAGGCGGAGCAGCACCACCCACAGAAGTGCCAATGACCAGTGCAACCAGCAGCAACCTGTCCCTTCCAGCAAGGCTGGATGACATTCACATTGAGCAAAAACTCCGTCTTCCCATTTTAGAGGGAATTACTTGGAATTACCTGGAAAGAACGTTCAGTCACTGTGCTTCTTCCCTGTTCACGGGGCCACATCACCTCTACCACCAGCTGGGGTGGCTCGGCGTGCAATGGACACAGGCTGAACCAGACCGTGTCTGACGGCGGGACATAAAAGGCTTTTCTTTATGTTTGAGCCACAAACTAGTGCTAAATTTATGGCTTGCAGCGTGCACAAATCAAGGAGGGAAGTGTGTGTGTGTGTGTGTGTGTGTGTGTGTGTGTGTGTGTGTTTATATCTGAGACTGCAGAGCACCTGCCACTCAGGAAGGCACTGGCTGCTGGCACACAGATCAGTTGCTAGAGAACAGCACAGCATGAGGAGACACATAAAGAATCAATAAGCAGAGGATCCGGAGTGAAAACTCGCTCGCTGCGTGGAGCAGAGCGCGCAGGGGACACTGTGGACGTTGAGGATGGCGCGCAGGATCATCCTCCTGCCTCGGTGGCGCAGAGGAAACAGCCAGTGCACAGGCAGTGCTGTGTACTACACGTAACAATAATAMGAAGAAAAGTCATTAGAAGAAAGCTGCACTCCTGATAAGCCTGTTGTGATCTTTCCTGCGTGCATGAACAYGCCGTGTGCCACTGGCTGTGCTCGGCTCTCCTGCAGGTGGGCTGAACCAAGAGGAGTAGCAATTCTCCTTGTGCAGCTGAGAGGGGGAGCTGGAAGCAGCGTGGAAGAACTAATCAAGAAAACCAGCAGAAATAACTTGAGGGAGAAAAATGCAACTTATTTTTCATTTAACCTTTAACCTTTCAGGTGTTTATGAGGTCCAGCTGGCACTCTGGGCCTGGGACAGCAAGAGCCTGGGGACAAGTGGCTTGCTGATGGACCCAAAGTGACCAGCATGATGCCCAGGGCGGCTCCAGCCAGCACCTCTTTCCTGTTCTTTTAGGAAAAAGCAAATTGTCCTGTGCCTTTTACCATCTCTGTCCTTAGATCCTTGTGTCCCACACACTGTTCTTGCTGCCCCTCACCATGACCTTCTGCTAATGACCAAGCATCCCAAGGAGATGCCCATCAAATACCTGCCTCTTTCTCCTTTGCTTCTAACAGAAGTCCTGGGGGTCTCAGTGCCCACGTTACACACAAGTCATTTGTTCCAAAGCAACCTGGGGAATAGCATTGTGCCTGTCCCAATCCAAACTGTCCATGAGACCATCCCTCTTCAGCCTAGCAGTCCTGACAGGTCAGCATGCTGCCTTTATGTGGCCATCCCRGGCAAAGCGAAGGCTTAGCTCAAAACTCTTCCAGGTTGGTCCGGAAGAGACGCATCACTTCCCAGTATGGAGAGGGGATCAGAGCTGATTACCCCACAGTGCTACTGCAGTGAACAGAGAGAACCCCAGAGAGATTAATACCCACCAAGCCTCCACTGACATGAGCAGCAGAAAAACATAAYATCCAAGGAAACCCCCTCAGAGCCCACAGGATTGCACTGGCACAGAAGCAAAAGGTGCACGGTGTATTCATGCACCGTGTATTTGTGGGTCTTTAAGAGAGGAGAAAAACCTTCAAAAAGAGTCTCCAAGTTGTGAAGACGAACACTACAGCCTGAACCTGCATCTCAAACATGTCCCATCTATCAGCAGCACTGAGATACTCCCCAGAGTCSAACGGCTCCCCTTTCAACTTCGTTTGCTAGTGAATGCTTTAGGACACACAAAACCTTAATTCCCCCAATGCCGCTTCCGACAGGGTCGGGTTCCCAGGACTTCTCACTCTATTCTGAGAGCTGGCACAGAGTCAAGGGCAGGGGAGCCCAGAGAACACGTGTGTGTGTGTCTACGTGATAGAGCCCTCTGCTCGTGAAGTCCTGCTTTACAAGAGGCCCCCTGCAAAAGCGCAGCCAGCCCGGGACCAGAGTGCTCCACCTCCAGGGAAGGGAGCTCCTGCTCCCCACGGTGAGCACCAGAGCAGCCTTCACAAAACCAGCTGAGGACGGAGCCCGACRTGGCTCAAAGTCACACCAGGCTGGGCTGCCGATAGACAAGCCCTGCTCWAGCCCACAGGGTGAACCTACTGCTTCTGCTTGTTCAGAGATGACTCTTGCAAACGCTTGCACTGCAGGAGGGAACCCATCCACAGATGCTGCCACACTGCAAGCCTGGCTACCCCTCTGCACGGCGATCCAGCACGTTCCCTGCGGGCAAGAGCTCCCTGGTCAAAACCTGGCTGCTGCCAACTCCATGTGTAACAGGCTCTGGTGTGAGACGCAGCAAGAGGCCACAGGACCAGGGGCTGTAATAGAAAACTCTTCCCCGCCAGCGCAGGGAGGTGACAGTGACTTTCTTTTCACCTGCCCAACTTGGATTGCAGCCTCACACATCTACACTGAACATCAACTCAAAGGTTGAGAAGTGAGGTGTAGGAGGGGGCTAAAGCAGAAGGCAGGTACAACTCAACTCCACAAACTGCAAGACTGCACTTCTTTCTACACAGCATCCTTGATCCCTTGCTTGGCCTCTGAAACAGCTGAAAAACTTGCTCAGAAACTTCACATTTACCTCTCTGGTGAGTCCTGGCATTGAAGGGCAGGAACGGGARCATTTCTGTAGCAACACGGCCTTGCCTTGGCACCCACGCCGTGCAACACCCCCCCCCCTGCACCAGGCCACTCCGGGATCGTTCTTACCTTCAGGCCAGTGCTCTCCGCTTCCGAGCCTTTATCCACGCCAGTGATGTAGATGCCTAGGGAATACTCTGCCCCTCCTCTGATCATGAGGCCCAGGGACTTGCCTTCGTTCAGGACCAGATTCACCTGCAGAGGAGGCGGAGGAGGAACAGTGATTTAGGTGGAACCTAAGAGCTGCACAGGAGCAGCCTCAACTCCAGTGCTTCTGACAAGAGCCAYGACTCCGTGGGCCAGGCCCGGTGGAAAACCTAATCACATTGGTAAGACATGGAAGACACTGTCTCACTGTTCAGAGAACATGGAAAAAGAGAGTAAGACGGCAGGATGACATCCAGGACCTGGTGGCCAATCCAGGAGGAAAGCACTGGCTGGAAGGGATGTTAGCAGAGGCAAGACAAAGAGGTGCTGCTGATCCCAGCCCATCCTTCAGTCCTTGTCCAGGAACGATCTCACTGCAGGCATAAGGACTGAAGCAATGGTCCTGTACCTCAGACCCCTGCTAGGACCACCGGGCACCACGGTGGACTGAGGATCCTGTGCATCCAGAGCCTCAATCCCGCAGGCACTGAGGATGCCCTGTGGGCTACCAGCACCTCAGCACCAACTCACATTAAACCGTATCAGGACACAACCGTGGGCACCCCATCTCTCCTCAGAGCTGCCTGTGKCCAGGAGGAATCCTCTGCACACCCTGTACATAATTGGCTCTAAAAACATTCAGACAAGTTTTCCACCTGCCCTGCCCTGAAGGGCCAGCACGTCCTGCAACAGATGTTCAGATGGCAGAGCTAAGAGGGTGGTCATAAATGGTGTGARTCCAGTTAGAGGCCTGTGGCTAGTGGTGTCCCCCAGGGTCAGTACTGGGCCCAGAGCTGTTCAACCTGTTTATCAATGACTTGGATGAGGTTCATCAATGATCCTGGATGAGTGTACACTCAACGAGTTTGCAGATGATCCCAAGCTGGGTGGAGTGGCTGACATTCCAGAGGGCTGTGCTGCCATTCAGAGGGACCTGGACAGGCTGCAGAGTTGGGCAGAGAGGAACCTCATGAACCCTGGATACCAGTACAGATCAGGGGTTGACCTGCTGGAGAGCAGCTCCAGAGAGGGACCTGGGAATCCTGGGGACACCTAGTTAACCATGAGGCAGCAGAGCCCTCGTGGCCAAGAAGGCCAATGGGATCCTGGCTGCATCAGGAGGACGTTGGCAGCAGGGCAGGGAGGGGATCCTGTCCCTCTGCTCAGCTCTGGGGAGGCCAAACCTGGAGCATTGGGAACAGCTCTGGGCTCCCCAGGACAAGAGGGTCATGGAGCTTCTAGAGAGGGGCCAGCGGGGAGCGACAGAAACGATGAAGGGACTGGAGCAGCTATCTTATAAGGAAAGACTAAGCGACCTGGGCCTGTTTAGCCTGGAGAAGAGAAGACTGGAAGGATATCTGATCAATATRTACAAACACCTGAAGGGTGAATGTAGGGAAGAAGGGGCCAAGCTCTTCTTGGTGGTGGCCAGTGACAGGACAAGGGGAAATGGGTATAAATTGAAACCCAGACAGTTCCATCTCCATGTGAGGAAGAACTTCTTCACTGYGAGGGTGCCAGAGCCCTGGCACAGGCTGCCCAGGAAGGTCRTGGAGTCTCCTTCTCTGGAGGTCTTCCAAACCTGCCTGGATGCTGCTCTGTGCCACATGTTCTGGTTGTCCCTGCTGGAGCACGGGGGTTGGACTGGATGATCTCTAGAGGTCCCTTCCAACCTCAACCATTCTGTGCTTCTGTGAGTATTTTCCATAGAGCTCTGGCAGGTAAATGCACCATGCGGTGGTGCCCGGATGGCCGTTCTCCCTACCAGTTGCTGGCTGCGGTCTTGGTTTTGCAGAGCTCTTGGCCAGCTTCCCGCATGCCTCCTTCTGGGCTCCCTGGCTCAGAGGGCCTGACAGCCCAGTAAAGCTCGGGCAGGAATTCAGAGCAGATGAGCCAGCCGGCATTTACCTCCCCAGGGGACTCTCGATTTAAAATGGCCTTTGTTCAGTCTCTGCATGACATTTTCTAAAGGAATAACTCCATGAGTTTTTTTTTTTGCTCCCAAGTTTTAAGTAATTTGGAGGAAAGTAGAGCAGGAATAAAAATGAATAAGAACCTCACGCATCAGAATGTGTTTCCCACTGACAGAAACAACTAGGACCAGCCTGTTTGCGAATGGCTTTTATAGTTAAATTCGTCATCCCAATCCAATCAAATGCTTGTGCACTTCCCTGGGATAGGAAAATCATTTCCAGCTTGAGCTCACTAACCTTGATTAGCAGTGGATTATCCCCCACTACCTTGGAGAACACTGCAGGTGGGAGCTACACACCTGTGATGGGAGCAACCTGCTGCTCCCAGAGGTTCCCATCACTGGGATTTGATTTTGTCCCCCACAGCAGAAAGTGCTGCCCACTAGGAACAGCTCCAAGCACAGGTGCTTTCCTGGGCCAAATCCTTCAGTTGTACAAAGCGCGTTTGCAAAGCCAGGACTAGAGCTTCTGTGCGAGCCTTGTCCCAAAAGAGGGCATTTTGGAGGCAGTTTTACTATATGTTTTTTCCTTCCTCAATTCACCACCTGTTCTGCTGGCAGCTCAAGATCCGAGTGAGAAATTAATATACCTAATATTGCCTGTGCATAATATAACTAATGCACAGGCACTTGCATTAGAGGAAGCTGGGATTGCTCCTAAACCTGAATATGGACCTAACAAGTGAAGGTCTGCAGGGACAGTCACCATCCGTGAGGTGACATCCAGGCAGGGCAATCCCCCAGGTCCTATGAAGGAGGCCACATCCTCCTGGGCTAATGGTGGAAAAGATGCTGTGCAGTCACCACCTATTCCCCTGTTCCATAACCTTCTTCCAGCCCTAGGTTGCTCCCACATGTAGGACACAGAAGCATTTGGAAAACCAAGGCCACAATTCTAATTTCAGCCTTAACACTGAAACATTTGCTTCCTCCAATGGTAAGAAATGAAGGGAAAAAAAAAGCCATAATCAATAAAGCATTTGCTCTGAGTTGATTCTTGCACAGAATTTCTTTTCTTTGGATTTATAAAATTACCTGTTGACAGATTCAATTTTACTGTTCGAAAAAGCACTTTCAGACCAAAATTGCTCTGCCTCCAAAGGATTCCGCGCACAGCTGCTGGAGTGACTGGAGAGGTTCCATCCATGCCAACAGCTATTTCCATGTCATTGCAGCTAAAATACAAAACCACCGCTTTACGGAGGCACACGGGAGCCATCGTCCCCCGCTCGGCAAGGAGACGCCCCTGGCTCGTGTCCAGACGTCGCGCACACGCAGAAGCGCCCAGGCCTCGCGGCCCCCGAGGCGCCAGCAGGCGCCGGGTGGCGGCTGGAGCGCAGCCGGGGCCCCAGGGCTGCCGCCACGTCCACACCTGACCCGCGGGAGCGCGGGGAACTCACCGCAAGCAGCCCCAACAGGCTCCAGGTCACCAGAGGCCAAGGTCCGGGCAGGCAACACCGCGCAAGAGACACAGTCATTGCATCTCCTCACACCACAAATCTCATTACAATTTAACAGAAAGAAACCCTTCCTTCTCTCTCCTGCATCTCTTACCCTTCATGCTCAAGTAATCACCATTAGCTTCTGAAAAACACCCGTCACACAATTGCTATCACAGATAACAATTTTTTCCCTTCTATTTTTTTGCAATAAATCTATCTGTTTGTGAATACAGAAGTGCCTGCAGGCAAGGAGACGCTCACATTAACTCTCCTCTGCCCGCATTATCTTTCTCGTGGCCCCAAAAGCCTTACGGAATAACCAGTCAATCAGCACATCAGAGCCTCCGTCCAGCTGATGAAATGGTGCTTCTCCAAGAATCAGCAGGGTGGCGCTTGCAGAGCACTCCACACTGTTCATCTTCCCCCCAGTTCGGCAGCACCTAAGAGTTGTTGCTGGCTGATGGTTTCCAAAGAGCTTTTAGGGGAATCAGCTGTTGATCCTGGAAGGACATCAGTGACAATTCACAGCGCAAACGTCCCTGGCGCTTGTGGAAGTGGGGACAACTTAAGCAAGCCGAGATCACAGAAATCCAATTGCTCTAAAGCACAAGGCGAGCAGCACAAGGAGGCTGCATCCTTCCGGATTGAAGCCCGAGTGCTTTGTGAGGGCTGCACTGGCCACTGTGACTCGCTGCTCTGTTTCTCCCCTGCCCCAGGCTGTCTCCCCAGCGCGCTGCACCCCAGCTCGTGCCTGAGGGGGACTCTGGCGATACAACGTGGGGGGATATGGGCATCTCGCAACCCACAACACGGACACGGAGAACCTAACTCTAAATACTGCTAACACAGGGCCTAAGATGCAGCGTTTCCACAAGAAAGAAACAAACAACAAAAATCCAAAAACAGCAAAACCCCACAGCTCTATCGGGGCAACCAGTACAGCAGCACGGCAAAATCCAGCTGGTGGCAAGCCCAGTTCTCATTGGGCTGAGGAGAGCACCAGGACTTGCAGCACACCTTGTACATCCACGGGCGCTCAGGCTCTAGCATGTCCTTCATCCCTCTGCTCCTTTTAATTCTCACAGCTCTTCTCGTACTCTCCCAGATGCCTCTTACTAGGTAACATCTACACTGAACGGTTGACCCAAGTGTCACACCTGACCCTCTGCTTGGCCATGCAGAACAGTCTGACACAAGCTTGCCGCAATCCAGATTTGGTCAAGAGGAAAAAAAAAAACTGAAGGCAAAGCCTGTGGAGAGCTGACAGTGCACGAGTGATGTCCCAAACGGCTTCTCTCACAGAGGACTGCAAAGAACTCCAAGTGCCCGTCCACGCAGGAAGGTGCCCCCACTGCAGGGCAAGCAAAGGGCGGCCCAGGGCCCCTTTGCTGGCAGCCTGGGCTGCAGCAGAGCCGCTCAGAGCCCTGCAGGGACGGGCTGCGCGTGCTGCCCCCAGCCCACACCCCAGCCACCCCGCAGAGCCACAGGCCGGGTCCCTCCCGGGGCAGCTCATGGGTCACGCCAGCGCACGCAGGCCAGCAGCAGCMGTTCCCATTTCAAGCCGTTTTTATAATGAATGTTTCTGCCTCCAGATGGGCGAACTTGTTAAGCTGTGCTGCAAAGAGCAGCCTCTYGGGCACAGGAACATCCTGCACAGAACAGCAGTGCGCAGGAAAAGGTAGCTAGCTGGGGATAGCTGTGTTCCCTGATGAGGTGGGATGCCTCCAGCAACCCTGAATTTGACCTTGAAAAAGCACCTGAACTACAGCAGTATCACAGATTTACTGAAGTGTAAGAAAGCATTGATAAAAAACTTGCTAGTTTACGTTGCTGTCAGCTGTAGGGCTAAAGTTGGAGCTYTCTCCACTGCACTTTTACAAATGCTGCTTTCATACAGGGTGTCTGTTTGAAAGCTTTTTGCATATGTATTCCAGGACATTCAGATCAATCAGAAATAGAAAGAAGGGAAAGTCCAATCCCCAGCCTTCCTCTTGGAAGGCAAAGCCATCCCCCAGGGGCAGCATCGGTCCATTCTGGTTGCTTGGGCTTAGTTAGCCATCGATACGTTGCATTTATTTGCATGGTATATGTTATAACACATATATAATGGAGATACATATATGTATGTATATACATATACACATACACACACACACGAATCTAAAGGCAAAGCTCCCAGTGTTTGGGGACCTGTTCTCACCTCTGCATGGGCACAATAAGCCAGGACAAAGCTGCGTCACCCCCTGAAGCGCACGGCAGGCAAAGCAGGCGCTTCTGGATGAGATGTGTCCGGGTGGCCTTGATCAGTTAAAGCTGGGGCTTGCAGCAGGTTGCTCTTGCTGGGCACACAGAGGGGCACTGGGCAGCTGCAGTGCTTGCAATGCACCTGCCAGACCCTGCACCCTGGCTCAAGCAAGCCGRCGAGGGAGCAGGAGCTGCTTCCAGAGGCAGCCGCTGAAAGGCAGCGCATAAAGCAGAGGGGTCATAGCTGTGAGAAGAGCCAGCTCACGTGCCAGCAGGGCTAAGAACCACTGCTCAAAGCACTTGTGAGCCGCTGAGCAAGCAGGCTAGGGGAAAAGAGGCAGCACGTTCACAGTAGCAAGGATGGGGGCCCTCTTSAAGGGCAAGGAGAGGCTCTCTGGGCAGTGCCGAGCGCTGTGCCGCAGCGGAGCAGGGCACGTGCTGCATGGCTGAGAGCAGAGATCAAGTCTGGTAGAGGAGAGGTAAGGCCAGAGCCACCAGCAGAGCTGCGTGGGGATGGATCACGGGACATGAGCAGCACAAGGCTAACAGCTTCCACTGGAAGTACAGCACAYGGCTGGCGTGGCGCAGAGGGCCGGGCCGGGGCAGCAGACAGTGACAGACGTCAGCGCTCACTTGCCACACTCAAGTCGTGCCAGGGGAAGGTTAAATACTCACACAGTGCCAGCACTGGCCTCCACATCAGATCTTTGTGTGTGCATTTCTCTATGCTTCAAACATTACTGTAATCATAATGGACTCTTCCCAGATTAACAGACAGTCCCTTAACCCCCAGCTCTGGGCTCAAAGCATGATCCTGTTATAAGCCCAAGGGCTGTCTGTTTGCCCAGTCTCTGGGAAGGGGACACTGGAATGGAAGAACRAGTTTTGGGAAGTGCCAGGCAGACAGTAAAGTCCAGCCTGGCTGAGCAGAACTGTTCCTGAAACCAGCAGGCCTGGAGCTGGCAGCAGCATCAAAGACTGGGCATCACACTGGCAGATCTGCTGCGCGCCWGTGCAAAGGGAGGCATCACTGCAGTGGTCCCGGAACAGCCTGGTCTGGAACGTGGGCAGCTGCCTGCTCCCCTCTCGTGCACACACGACACTGCCAGGGCACGGAACAGCCACTGCCTGCAGTGCCGGGCGGCCTCGCTCTGCGCGCGGGCTGGGGCAGCTCCTGCAGCCAGGCAGGGGCATCAGCCTGCAGCGACTCGGAGCTGGGGCCTCTGGCGCCTCAGCACTGAACGGGTCCAGCAGGATCCAAGCCCTGTATTCATATTCTTAGAAGTTTAAGGCAGCCTTCATTCAACTTGGATTCATTCCATTCCCAAGAAAATTAAACTACACTAATTAAGGTAGCTTAAATTCTGGACAAGCATCTCCACTTGTGCTTTACTTGCCAAGTTTACTCAAACTCCTGCATATCCCTTGGGAGACAGCCCTGGTGAACTGAGGGACCAGGAGCAGAGCAGTGGTGCTTGGGCTGATGGGCGGCCCACACCGCAGCCAAGCTAGMCAGGATGGCCACAGCACTCGTGATCACATCTCCCCAGGAAACGAAGGGAAGGGCATGCCTGGCTAGAGCACCCAGAGGAGACTCAGCACTGGGCTGCACATGGCTGGAGGTTGCTCATCATTTCCAGAAAGGAATAAAGGAGATGATGTGCAGAGAAAAACCTCCTACCTGGAGCTTCAGAGAATCTCCATCAGCTCTGCAGAGGCTGCATCAAGGTGACGGAGCAGCGGGGGGCAGGGGACACAAGCAAGCCAGTGGCAGCTGCTTTTCTCTTCTTCTTAAAGCAGATATAACAGGCCCTTCTCCCTTGCGGCCGACATGAATATTTCATCAGCAAAGCAAACTGCCTTATGTTGCAATAGATTTTTCCCTCTCTGGCTGAGTTGCGAGAATCCAGCTTACAGATCCCTCCACAGCCTTAGCAGGTGGCCCAAGGGCATTTGGGGCACAGAATCAAAGTGCTGGGGGCAGCCAGAGAGATCTGAGGACGACAGAACAGAAACGTGTTAAAGCTCCAGGCAACTCAGCACCCTTGGGAAGCCTGTGCCCAGCTCTCAGATGTCACTACTTGAATATCCCATGAACACCGGTGAGGCAACACCCTATCCTGCTTCCACGGGACAAACACGTTCCCTATCTGTTACTGCTGACCGAGAGCAGTGTGTGCCCCTCCTGTCCCAGGTCTCACTGCAAGGCAGAGCAGCAACCCTGTTCTCAGCAACTACAATAAATTTCTCTTTTTTTTTCTGGGGATGAGAAGCCTGAAGGAGAGGAAACACTAAACTCCTAGGACCAGATAATGTAGCTTGAACCTATCCTCTGCTGAATCACTTATAACACGGCCTGTTTCAGAGGAGGGTAGGCTCACAGTAAGAGAAGAGGACTGGAAGTTAGGTGTTATAAGCCATAAAGGCTGTTTCTAGTTTGACTGGTGTTTCCAATAATGCCTGCACTGCCAGACATTTCTCCATCTCAATGATGTCTTGTCTCCAGCTTAGGAAGAGTGATGGACTCCTGCGTGAGCCTGGAGCTCCCATTCCCTAGAGTCACTGCTAAGGTTCTTGGGTGCTCCGTGTCTACTTACATCAAACAGGAACGAACCAACTCCCTGGGCATCCTCCAGAGATGGAGCCAAGGACAGAGACTTTGGGAGAAAACTGAGATCTTAGAGGGCCATAAGGACGAAGCAGGATGAATCAAGGAGGAGGTGGCTGGAAGACTCTCCACTACCGTGTGTTTTGAGCACTTGCTACACCAACACAGAACAAGGGCTAAATGCTGTTGATGGCTTGGGCAGCACTGGACTCTGCCCAGTGCATCATAAAGGAGAGACAGCATCCTGAGCGAGAAGCACAGCAAGGTAAATCACCCAGGGAATGAAGAGGACAGGCACTTACTTGGCTAAGAGGTAACCACATGCACACAGTTGACCCGCTCTGCTCACCTTTTTCTCGTCTCCCTCTTGCAGGAGCTGGAGGTGGCTCCTCTTCTCGCTGTCCTTGCGGAGGGAGCTGTTCTGGTGGTGCAGCAGGCCCAGCGGTGGGGACACACTCCTGCCCTGGGGGTCCACCCACGTGTAGATGTGGTTGGTGACATATCCTCCGGGGATGCGTCCCACTGAATGCACCGACAGGTTCAGCTTCTTGCAACCCTTCAGTGCCTGCAGGACAGGGCATGGAGAGGAGGAGGTTAAGGCTGGTGGAGGAAGGAGGCCAGTTCTGCCTTAGGACTCCAGGGCAATGTCTTTCCTTGGGCTGGGAAGATCTCAGGCTGCTCAGCAAATACCTGCAGAACAAGCGGGCTACACAAAGTGAGGGAAAGATGTGAAATTTCTCTCAACTGCAAGAGCATAAGGGGAGGTTGCAGGTGCTAATACAAAATCTACTCTCTCCCCATCAGCCAGGGAAGGAGAAGAACAACAYGGATTAGGCGGGTAACGAGGTGACCAAGGGACACTCCAGAGTGAACTGACTCTAAAGATGGGGCAGTTTCTGCCGCTTAGGGGAGTGGGTCAGAGCAGGACGGGCATCGAGGCCGGGGAAAGCAGCAGCGCTGCTCCCCATGGATTGCTCCCAAGCTATTGGCAAGGCAGGCGGCTGCTCCCAGAAATACAGCTCCATTGACATTTCATCACACGTGCAGCCTCTCCAGCACAAGTAGTCAACTAACGAGCACAATAATTAATAAAAATATGCRTATATTTAAAAATGCATGCACCAAGATGACCTTGAAACAGAGATGCATTGGCAATTACTCTTCAGCYTCTCCAGCATGCACTGAGAGAAGCTGACATAGGTCATACACATAGTAAAATTAAATTAACTTTAAAGTAGTTCTCCCTCGAGACAACACCACGCGCCGTTCCCTTTTCAGGCCTCAGGAACACCAGTTCTCGGATGCGCCCTCAAAAAGAGACGGTTTCAGATTTTTTGTACGTGTCCTTCTGCTGCTGCTCCTGCAAGGTCTCCTCTCCCCACTGAGCAGAGCAGCTGCAAATTGGTCACTTGCCACCAAGGTCATCTGGCCTGGAGAGCTTAAGTGAAGGCCGTGAAACCAACAGCTGCATCAGGAGAAGTGGGGAGACTTTTAATCTCCTGGGTTGCTCTCCAAGCCCAGCGTCCTCCACCTTTGCTCCCCAGGCCCTGCAATGGACGAACGAGGCTTCTCACCCATCCTGTAGGTGCCAGTGCAGAAGGATGCCCGATGAGCTGGAACACAACATGCCACAGAACAATGGCTTTCTCCATTCATCTAAACAAAAACCATCTCTATGAAATCCTCTTTTATGCCTCCATTTACTTCTCCAGGCTCCAGGACAGGCAAACAGCCCTGTCGCATCTCTAAATGGGGCTGCGGCTCATCAAGCACAAGCCAGGAACGAAGGAACCAGGGATGTGACCGACCACACGGGTTTGCGAGCCGTGTCCCCGGCAGCGCCGGGTCCAGCCCGCCCTCAGCGGCGGACACGCTGGGCCGCCCTCTCTGCCACTTCTCTCCCACCCTTTTTCCGCCCACTAACAAAGGGGTGGATTCCCTGAGAAACGTGTATGTTGATCCTGGGCGCTCCTCACGTGCACGTGCTCCTTCTGATGACGGAGCCTCCGAGCCAGGACCCGAGTGTCAGGGTAACTTAAGTACCGAGCAGAGAAAAGGCTGAGAGCAGAGGGCGGGATAAGAGCAAAGTGCGGAGTCGCACTCTCGCCTCGCTCCCCGCTTCCACTGCCRCGACCCTCCAGGACCTCCTTGGGACACTGGGAGCAACGTCAGGACTCCCTTTCCTCCCTTCCCTGGAGCATCCTGGCCAGCCAAGGGGAGGAGCTGAACAGATATCAGGGGTTTATTCRAAGTGAGAACTTCCTCAAGAAGACCCGGCACTGTGCGAGGGCTCCTGCAGCAACAGCCCGAGACCTGTTCTCAGGAGGCACCGGGACGTGTCCGGGGATGGGAATCCGGAGCTTTACAACAGACTTTGTACATGCCCAGGGGGCTGCCCCGACGGGCTGCTGGGGAGTGGGACAGCAGCCAGCAGGGACATGTTTTATGCACGAGGGTGACAGCAGCGAGGCGRGCAGCCTCGTGCCAGAGAGGACAGGGAAGGAACAGGGGGCCCGTGGGCCGTGCCCATGGGGTGTCACTGAGAGCCCCCTGGCCCTGCCCATCGGGGTGGCCCTGCCGAGGGCCCTCGCCCAGCCTGGCAGAGCGGAGAGCATCCCACAGCTCCCTGCTCGCAGCACCAGGAGCGGGGGCTTGGGCACTGGTTTATTCAGTCTTTTACACTTTCCTGAGRCATCTCAGAGACTCGCTAAGTGAAGCAGTTTTCTCGTCTCCACAGTGTTCCTCCAGGATCATCCCCACTGCCTAAAGGAGGCCCACGGTGCGACCCCAGCACACAGACCTTCCACGTCCTTCCCTCAGGACACAGCTCCTCCAGCCTCCAACTGCCCTGCGTYGACAAGAAGAGAAACAGGATCAGGAGCCCCAACTGCAGAGCATCAACAGGAGGATAACAGGAAAAACAGCCAAACTGCACCAGCCACCTCAAACACCCACAAATGTCCARCATCCCCCTCTGATCGACCAGCCTTTCAGCCCTGCCAGCTGCCATTTGGGAAGGGCAGCCCCCACGAGCCCTGCTGGGCTGTCCCGAGCCAGGAGACAGCACAAGCCTCTCCGGGGAGGCTTGCAAACTTGGTCTTGCAAACTCATGGCTGCCGTTTCCACATCTAAACAGCTCCTTCTAATGGGATCCCAGTGTGGTTTCTGCTTGACCACTGATGAAGGAGCTCCACAGGCAAGAGGCTCCCAAGTCTTTGCCTTCCACTAACCAAATCCCCCGGCTCAGCTTTTACAAACAAGTGGCTGCTCAGCTCAAGCTGCAGCCTTGGGCAAGGAAGCGAATCACCGGAGGCAGCAGATAAATCAGCCTCTCCTACCACCCCAAGCGTCTTGAAAACACCTTGTTGCCTGAACTGGACCTTGATTGCAAGGAAGGTTACATTTGCCAGCTAACAACATTAATACTCGATAAATCCTTCCTCCCAACTTTGAGGATCAGTCAGGTTCTTCTCGGGAAAGAGCAAAGCAGTCTCTTCCTCAAGGCGCAGAGTTGCTCTGAAATCCGCGCTTCCCAAACCAGTRGCTGCGGGAGAGCCCAGCAAAGCTCAGTCATCAAAAGCAAGGTCATGGCGAGTAGATCCTCCTGCAGGAGTCATGTACCAAAACCTTCACATGGAGAAGCACCACAAGACACAGACCAAGTCTTTGGGAGAGCTGTTGGATGATCACAGGTGAAGGGAAACAGCAGYACCCACAGAGGACTTGCTGTACCCCGAGCACAGCGGCACTGGGCACACAGCTGAGCCAAGGTGATGCAGCTACACTGGCCTCAGCAGCCAGGGGTGCTTCAGTGTGGAAAGGCTTCTTTGTTTGTTTTTTAAGATGGTTTGGCTGGCAATGCATCCTCACCCTTGCCACGACAAAGCCAGACAACATAGGGATTTATTACAGAACAATCCAAGATGAGGCAGCCCACACTGGCACTGCCCACAACGGCACAGCGGGGCAGAGGCTTAAGCCCAGGTTTACCAGCTCAGGGGACAAATCCTGAAGGGGTCACCTTTAAATCACACTCCCTTCAAACCCCACTTTAAACCCCRTGAGAAGCCTGTTTGCTCCGGTGAGTCTAACTAGCATCCTAAGTGAAGAAGCCCAGCACTGGAGCAGGAGGATGAGGAGCACCAGCCTTGCTCAGCACCACCTGGATTCTCCCGATGGCCACCGGAGTCTTGGCAAAGTCACCAAAAAGGCAGCACAAAGCGTTTCTCCAACGCTGTGATCATCAGAACTTGTTTTGCTCATACATCCCAGCTCCCTGGCAGCCTTCGTTCTTTTGGCAGGCGCCAGGGATCCAYGAGAGCTCACGTGGCTGGGAGCAGAGACGAAACGGGCAGCAATGGTTTCCCTTGGAAGACATCCTCCACGGAAGCACTGCGTCCCTGGGAATGACATCTAGCACAGGCCTGGAACCRACTGCATACATCCACACTAGCTGAGCTGGGCTTTCACTTCGCTCACAGAGCTGCAAAATTACAAGGCATTGGGAGAGCCAAACGCAAGAAGCTTCCACACTACGTCCAGGGTTAGAAACCACCGCCAGCAGAAGGGATTCCAGGTGGCAAGGAACCATCCAGCCASTGCAAAGCTTTGGAGGAAGAATCTCCCACCACACTGGGACATGAGAGGGAAGGGCCCCCTCAGCAGCTCTCCCCACYTGGCCCTGGGGCTCTACTGCCTTACCTTCCTGATCAGGATACTCAGGAGCTCGCAGAGTCAGAAGGGACCTAGACTAATTTGAGACCCCAAAGAGAAAGTTTGTAGGTAATTTTCTCATCCACTGAGCATGATTATCCAGCAGCTTTGGGAAGTTAACAGCATATGACAAGACAATAATGACTTTCTCCTGCCAGCTGTTTCGCTGACAGTTATGAAGTGTAAGGGAGAAGTTTCAGCGTGAAGGATGCTCCAGCCTCACCACTGGCTCCTGGGAGGAATCCAAGGGACCACCATCATGGAGCTTTTGCCGTAAATTTCTWAAAAGAGCCTAGTCCTGTCAATTTTATTGCTACAGCACTGGGACACTGCACGGATTGAAGTAGACCATTTGCACTTGCCATTAAGGCAATGAGGTTCTGCCTGCTGCTGTGCTAACCTAGGGCCAGGATCTTTGGCCCTCTCCTCATCTTCCCCTCTCCCCCATTCCAAATGGCAAGGGCAGGCCTGGATGTCTCCGAGCTGGAAAAACTCTGTGAGGYGGAGGCTTGCAGAGTCCTCTGCTTCAGCATGTGGCTGCAGGGGGCTTGAGAAAACAAGCTCAGAATCAAACCCAGGGTTAAACTCCTGTTTCTAACAAAAGCGAGCGCTCAGAGTGGAGAGGTTCTGCATAAATGAAAATCATTAACAGCCATCGAAGCAGGACAAGAGCAAGGGCTAATGGGCTGAGCAGAGCGGGCAGCAGCACTAGGAGTCTCTGCAGGCCCTCGGGGACCTGCCTGTGTCGGGGGACACTGACCATGGTGTCACAGGTTATGGCTTTCGAGAGGAGGGCGCAGGGCCAAGGCTGCGCAGCACCGAAAGGGGAGGTGGCCGATGCCGGGACACCAA